TATGCCTTGACTTTAGAACATTAATAAATTAAATATTTTAATAACTAGACATTTAATTCATTATAAAATATGAAATAATTTATTTTTTTTTTCATTTCAGATTCATTTTACTTTGTATAAATTTTATATTTTTAATCATTTTATAAAATTAGAATAAGTATGCAACCACAAAGTCCTCAATATCATCATAATCTTCAGGTATGATGTCTTTAATTCATTTTAAATGTTAAAATTTATTAAAACGTCATCTATTGATATAAATTGAGACCCACGTCTAGTTATTTACTGACTAAATTTTTAAAAAATAAACAATCTCTCGTTGGTTTTGTTTGTTTGTGTTATAATGATAAGATGTTTAAATTTGATTTGTTTCTGTAAATAAACTTTTTAAAGTTTATATAAAATTGTTTTTCTTAATTTAGTATCTAGACTTGTTTACAAAAAAAGTTACAATGCTTAGATTTAATTAACCTTACTGTATTTATGAGAAATAATTATATATATTTTAGATGTCTTTTATATTTTTAGTGGCTTTATATAACGATAAAAATATTTTAAAGCGTCATTATTTATAGATGTAAATTGAGATATAGACTTATCCTTCAGACGAGAACACCTGTTCGGCAGGTGATTTAAACAAAAACTTATGATTTTCAAGATTGATTCCTTTAAATTCCACTTTAATAATGACTGGTGTTGCCACGATCTAAGCCATCTTTTGAATTAACTTATCTCGAATGTAAAAAAACAAATTGACGTCTTAAATATTCAAAATATCTGCTATAATCACAGCCACTTTATTCTTGTAAATGTTATAAATTAATATATAAAAGCTACGAATTTATATCTTATATACACGCTCAGATTATTTTTTAGAATAAGGTTTATATTGTAGTACGTTAGAAAATCCAAGCGTAGAAATGAAACATACAAAAATTAATTTACAAAATAAGAGACTTGTAACATCATGCTCCATTAATGAAGTTCGAAATTAAATTTTTACTGAGCTAAAATAAAAATAAAATAAATCACAAATTATATAACTCGGTTGCAAATTATATATATTTAATATTAATAATATATAATATGTTTGCAAGAATTATTTTAATGTAATAATTAATTAAACTCTGTAAGTACTGTACATACTGTATGTATTCTTAATTAAAATGTTGCATTGATCAATATTAAATTTAACTATTAGATGAAATAAAGTTGAAAATTATTGGTAAGTGATCAGTCATTAAACTAATATAAATTTCATTAATATTCACCTTCTCAAGAATAATATATTTTAGCATTTTTTAAAATAATTTCTAACTATAAAGTGCCACTCAAAATTTTAATTTTTTAAATTATTTATATATTATTTATTATATTAAGTTGACGTTGATTGAATTATAATTTGTGCTGTTATTTGACTTCGAATTTATAAGTTGACTGAAGCTGACAAGTCTCGGTTAGTTTATAAATTTTCCAGTAGCTGTTATATATCATTCATTTAAAACACAGAACAACAGTAATTGTATCTTTTAAGTATTTTTGAATAAAAAATTTATTTTGCACATAAATTTCTAGCATTTTCTGTTAGCCATTTCGTGTTTTTAATAAGGTTATTGTACTTTTTTTCGTGTTCTCTTAAGCATGATAAAATCATGAATATTTATGAAGTTATTATCTTCCTCACGAACTTTTTCACATTAAATTTGCAATATTGGGTGTTTAATTTGAATAACTTTCTTAAACAAAAACTTTATTATCTAACAAAATTTATCTAAAGCCTCATATCTTATTAAAAGAAAATGTGACGATAAAAATTTTATTATTGATTAAAATATATTTCCATTTTGCCTCTTATTTTCTATTATTAGAGTCGTTAATATGGCAAAAGATATTATGATTATTCCCATTAATCACGCTTCAATATTTAAATTATTTTCAAAGTTAAACATTAAACTATTCTGTAAATTATTTTGTAGTTTTTTTAAGAGTTTTATTATATATAAGATAATCGTTTAATTCTTTGTGTACAGGGAACACCGCCACCTTATCCACAAAAGGAACAGTTTATTTACTACCCGTCTACACCTGCATCTCCAGGCTTGTTTTATCCTACTCCGCCTCCTCCTACCGTTTCTCCTCCTTATCCTTTACAGTATCCTTACGGTCAGACCGTGTAAGTACTTATATTAAACTAAATAAATATATAAATTAAAAATAATCTTACTTGAAACAAAATCGACTTGACCCTTGCCACGCATTAATGCAATTCACGAATTAACAAACTTATATATATACAATGATAATTTATCTGGAAAAAATTTTATCTTTATGTACCGTACACGTACGTAATAATAATTTATATGACAGGTACAACAGCGGAGCAACGTTTAGACGTTTCACATACGTATTTTTATGTTAGTTCGAAAACATTCACTTTTCTCTTGATGGTACAACATTTCGTTTATACAACTAAATTCATTACGAGTTTCATTTATACGTCATTTCCTTTCTGATGAAGATAATAATAATATTGCAATATTCTTTTAAAAACTGCACTCAAAATTTCTAGAACATATTCTTTGCTCTATCGTCGCATTCTCAGAATTTAATGGTATAAAATTGATTCAATCAGATTATCTCTTGCAGAAATGATTAGCATTAGGTTATTGCTAATAAGAGTGAACCGGTCACAACGTTTGTTATATTCTATAACAGTAAAAGAATTCATAAGCGTTTTTTGTTTTATCACAGCAACTTTCCAATGTAAATTATTAACCATTCTAACATAAAATTCCAAATGGTTCTTAATGGATATTCTAAACCTTAAAAAGCAATAATAATGTATTTAGGAGGTTGATACCACCTGTTGACAATGGCATTCGTCTTGAACAGATGAAAATCATTTTGGAATTTTTTGCTTTTCATAGGATATGTGAATTATGCCAACTCAATCACTATAACTTCGAAAATAAACACGATACTCCTATGTTTAATAAAAATGCACAGTAAAATATATTGTATTGCTTATTTTGGCATAAAAGCTATTAGTTCTTGAATTCTGTGGTGCATCTTGAGTAAATTTCGATAAGTTCCTATAGGTAAAAAGTTTGATTCGTATTACTTTATGTAATATGTTAAACGTTTGAAACACAATATGTAAATTGTATTACAGCAAATTTGCAAAAGTTATTTGTAAAATATTATTTAGAATATTTATAATTTTTATTTATAATGTCTGTTTAAAATTAAACTTAACAGATTTTAATTTTTTTTTTTACATTTAGAATTTTGCGAGAACACTCCCGGAATGGCTTAATGGAGAAGTGTTGGCTCTTAGCTTGCTGCTATCCTTTGCTGTTTTGCTTAAGTCCCTGCTGTTGTTGCTACGACTGTTTTGACTAACTACAGTTTATTTTTATCATAAGTACATTTTTTATTTTTATCATCATCTCTTTCGATGACAGGTATATTCCACGACAGAATATTTTATGATAAAACTCGTACATTAATTAAAAACGCGTCAAAATTTTTGAAGCTAAGTGGTGGTGAATTAAAATTTAACAAAAAAATACAAGTAAAAACGTTACATCTGATTTAAAAATTCATGTAATAATATATATATATTTTTTATTCTATTTTAATGATGCCACAAGTAATATTACAGCACATGATTAATTCTCGAGTTTGACACTTAAAAATGAATGATACATTCGGATAAAATGATTTCCCGTTTGATAAAGAACATAAATATGCTACTATATATGTCGATATCCGCGTCACGATTCATAAAACATGAATAACTTCAAATACGACTTATAACATTCGAGAGATTTCAGTGAAACGGCGACTCGCCCCACTGCCACATGTTAAGTATGATAGCTGATAACATTAATAGTAAGGAAAGCCTCCAAGAGATGGCGGAGTTGCAACCGTCAGTAGAACATGTGTAAATGCAAGAACGATATTCCCTCTCGTCACCTGGCCTCTGCACGTATTCACAATAGTCACCATGATCACGTGACGAACAGAACCTCTTAGTTCCTATCTCACCTGCACAAAAAAAAAGACAATATACGTCTTAACGTATTTTACTACACGACTTTTTCGAAGATAGAATAAATGTTAATATATCTCACAAACAAGACATTAATTATAGGTTATATAAATACGTTTTATAATTATTTAAAAGAGTATAAATTTTGATAAATTAATTTAATTAAAAATTACTTAGAAATGTTATTGTTTAACAGTATAGTTAATGGCCAAATAAAGTAGAAAATATGTAGTTAATCTTTTCAAGAAATACTTTGTTAACAATCCCTAAAGACATTCCAATTACTTTTAATTGTCTGTAGTTTTTATGTTGTTACTCTGTTGTCTTAATCGTTTTCAATGGTATAAGATGTGTAAAAACTAAACTGTATAAAGGCTTAGAAGTGTATACATTCCAAACTACAGTTATAATTCAAAATAGCTATTTATATAAAGATTATTCTTTATATACACTATAATGTGTGATTTTTATATTATAAATTATAAAAAATTGTTAACAAAAGCATTTTTTGTAAAGATTAACTAAATAATATCCAGTTTATTATAATTTTCTACATAAAGAAATGTATAATCTATACAAATACTGATTTATATTTACATCGAGATTTAAATAAGTGTAAAAATGTGCTTAGATAGCTAGATAAATAGAAAATTTGCATTTCGAATACATATGTTTTTGTATTTATATCATAAAAATTTAGATAGATATTTTTACAAAATGACAACAATATATCGCGTGAAATATGACAGGAAATCGGATATAACCCGCTCGACAGACAGAATTACGTTGTAATATTTTTTTCTACTCACCCTCGAACATTCCTGTAGCTTTGATGCAATATTGAGCTTCGAATACGTCAGAACAACTTTCGGGTTGTAAATTAGCATTTTCGTGATCGAACCTTTCGGAACAGTGCAAATGTGTCTTCGATTCGCATCGATAACACTTTATACACGACACTGCGACCAATAAAAAATAATATTTAAAAAAATATATATATACAGCAATGAAATCTATTAAATTTGACAGAGTAAAATTACGTTTGGTGCAAGTTCTAAAACCTCTAAAAACTGTTTTACATTACAATCATTTTTTGTAAATTATAAGACCATTTTTTTTACTTTAAAAGGAATTGCTTTTGACACGTGTTTCTATTTAAAAACTTTTATAATTTTTTTCTTTTTGTAAGTAAAAGGAATTCTTGTACTTTTTATCAAGAATTAAGTCTGATACTATTTACCAATAATTGAAAACTAAATTTAGTATCAGACTTAATTTAGTTGGCAATTAACATAATATACGATATAGGTTAGTCGTTACTATAGTGATGCTATGTTGTCAGTTTCGTTTCATTCAGTTCATTGAACTTCAGTTACGTTCACGTGTTTCCAATAAACATGAATGAATCGCGTAACCGTTATTCGTAAATTAGAATATCGATTCTACCACATCTTCAATTATTTGTGTATAGTTCATAAATTAACATATAAAAACATCACTCGACAATCATCCTATTTTCAATTAAAACGTCATCTTATACAGAGTGACCCAGATATCAGTTAATCATAAATATTTCGTTGCTTACAATTGTTCAAAATGAGAACTTTCTTGTTCAATGCATAATTTATACGACCTTTGTGATTCATTTTCACAAAGTACAGTACCTAGAAACCCACAATAAAGTGGTTAACTGATTTTTGGACCACCCTGCTTAATGAAGAGCTGAAAATCATTAATATAATAAACTTAGTATTTAATAACTATTTGATATAAAAACCTTTTTTAAGCTTATATTAATATATTTTAAAGAGTTGTTAGTGGATTTGCAATAAATATAGTCATTTGTTTCTAAAATTTTGTAAACTTGATGTTAAATTCATCAAAACGAGAGATTTTCTTAATCTTAAACTAAAAATAAACTTAATTGGTATATTAATTAACATATTTAACTGTTATTCTTAATAACATTTAACTTAGATGTTTACATTATCGCATTCTCCAGTCTTTGAATTTATTTTATATCATTAATAACTTAGTCTTTTAGGTTTGAATCGCTGTGTGAACAACATTGTAACATGGCACAGATTTTCTTGAATTAAAATGATTTATTTTAACATTAAATTTGGTCAGTGTCATCGAGACCAGATCGAAGAACAAGAGGAACACGAAAACAATTCGTAGAAATCGATTAATCACTTTAACCTAGAAAACGATTTTCGAAACATTTAAATCCTCCCAGCTTCATTTAGACAGTAAATTTCAGAGTTTAAGTGAAGACAGGGCAATGAAAAATGCTCGAAGGACTTTTTCAAACTATTTTTTGAATAATATTTTACCGATTAATTCGATACAATAAGGAATTTGATCATTTCAGAACAAGCTAAATCGCGTTTAAAATACTTTTATACCGAAATCTGATCTTTACGTTACTTTACGAATGCAAGATTTTAAGAAATCCCTTTGATAAAAAATAAATATTTGATAGTTTAATTGCGAGAGATCTGAAAATTCTGTGGATTAACGTTAATAAAATTCCTTTTATTTTTATACGAAAGCAACCATTTAGGCGCTGCTTTTATGATGGCATTCAGAAATTCTAAGTTATAAAATACTTTAACATAAAAATTTCATTTAACAAAGTGGTTGGTATTATTCGAGTTAGTTACAGAATGACATTCCAAATCAAAGCTTTAACGTTAGCTAGCGCAAATAACGTTTTAAACAAACATTAACCATCACTCGAACTAATTTGTACAGCAAAATAATTGTAGACATACGAAAAAGAAGCGCAAACATTTAAGGACAAAGTATAGTTTAAATATAAATATACTGTAGAATGATTTCTGAAAAATTTAAATCTAATTTTTACGTTAAAACTGAAGTTCTTGATATTAAAATTTTTATTTTAGTATTAAAATGACTTAAGAGATAACAAAAATATGATAAAATATTCGGTATTATAAATGATTCATTATTACTTGAATTTTAATGTGAAAAATCTATCAGATTATTGTTGAATCTTCCCGATAAAGACTTTTAGAGTAAAGGACTAAATTCTGAAACCATAAAATGCATACTGATTCTTGAGAATATATCATATAATTAGCACGGCCGTTTGTTTTACGCTCCAGACACAAAGAAATTCCGAAATTTAGTCGTTTATGTAAAAAAACGTAATGCGAGGAACATTAAAATTCATTTTATAACTGGTTTAAAAATCTGTTTTTAATTATTTTATTGAAATTGTGGATTTCGATAAGAGTCGAACCCCACATTTGTGATTAGCTTGGTTCCACTCATAGGTCTTAGTTATACATAAATAAATTACCATAATTTTTTTAAATTTATACGAGCAATTATTTATTATGACATCGTCATAATGCCAAGCTGCAATTTTTTATCATATTTTTAATTTATTTATTTTAAACCTACACTTAGTAGTGGCATGCCCCTGAACATCATACTTTTCCTTTAACAATGAGTCGTGCTGGTCATCTATCTAACACCTTTCAAAAGGAAAATTTTTGAATTGAAATAACATAACTTCTAGATTACATCGGAAGTTCGTATATAGTTAATCGGGACCTTCTGCTCCTAAGGTTTCCATATCTGGTCTTGGATTTCATCTATTTAACTCCATTCTTGATATTAAGGAAAGACGGACGGACGGACGGACGACAGTGGGCATTTATAGGTCTACATTATAGTCCAATTTTGCTATATGGTAATATAGTGTATTATAGTATATATATTCATTAAAAATTTTAATAAATATTGATACTAATCATCTACAAGAAATTTGTTATAAGATACATAGTGCGATTATTTTCATATAATTAAAATTAATATGTATTTATTTTTTAGAAAATACAAGGGAAGCGGCGCATCCACCGCTTCCAATGAGGCACGCCACTGAATTCTGGTCTCGTCTTTCATCCATCTAACTCCATTCTAGAGATTATAGATTAAGGAAAGACAATCAGATGACAGTATATAGAACTTTTTATAGGTCTACAATTTTTCAAGTTGCAGCCCAATGAAAAGTGTACACAAAAGATTACTTGTTCAGACTATCAGATAACAAAAAATTTAATCTTTTAAACGTGTAAATTGATGACAATACCGAAATTTTCGAAGGTATTTTTATATTCTATTAGATATTATGCATACTTATTAATTGTTTTCATCATAAATAAAATACGAATATGCGAGAACGGGGTCGGTTCCGCTATATCTCCCGTCTCACCGAGGATAGCCGTTATTTATCTAGAGAATCGGTAAGATTTCCAGAATCAGCAATATCTAGAATATGTTATTTGCGTTGTAACTCGCGAGTTAGTTCCTTCCCGAGTGGAGAAAGAATAATTAGAAACGTCGACTTCCGACACGTGAAGGAAGTCCGGCGGTCTTGCGGATAGACCAGTGAGACATCGCATTCGACCTATTATTTTCGGAGAAAGGAAGTTCCCTTTTCGACGTAGATAGATTATTTTATCAAATATAATTTAATTTCAAATTCAAATATTATTTTAACAAATCGTTAACTTTTTCCGCCCTGTGAGCGCTAAGTTCTGTTTTAGCAAGCCCATTATGGATTCGACCAGGACCAAATGAAGCAGCTGAGTGGTAAAGAGCGGTACCCTATATATCTGGGAAAAACAACTCTAAAAAAGTCCTGAGTATTTTTATTTTCGGATTCGATTTTGGGTCTCCCAGACCCAGATCTCAACATCATCGAGCATCCGACCGTCGTGTATATAAACATTTCCTCAGTAATCATGTCCAATGTTCCTCAATATTCTTTATTAATAAAATTATGCTGCTGAATTTTACAAATGAAATTATTTAAATATTTTTCTGATTAAATATATATATAAATAAATCGTTGAATTTTAATAATAACCTTTTTAAAATGAAAAAGATTGGGGCCGAACACGGATCGTTTAGAGAGAGACCGACTGGCTTTCACGTCGCCACTCCAGCAGTAATAGTGAGGTTGCGGCCGAAGTTTTCGTCGCTAAAACGTGAACGTCGAACGTCGAGCGCCGCTTACAGGATAGCGGCGCTCGACGTTCGACGTTCACGTTTTAGAGATGAAAACTTCGGCCGCAACCTCGCTAATATGTTTCCCTGTAGATGCGAGAGATAGGTATTTAGTGTGCGAAAAATTATTTCTGCACAGGAAATTGCCGGTTACACAATCAAAAATCAAAGCAAACGAGCTTAAAATTTTACTGCCTGTATACCATTTAGTAAGTTTTATGATAATATATACAGGTTTTTGGGTAAAGTATTGTTCAGTGTGTATATTATACCTATGGCTATTATGCGTATTTATTATTTAAACGCCTTTGCTCACGTTGAAAATCTACTTTCTTTCTATTTTTTGTACGTAAATATAATGCAAGCTTGAACCTAAATTTTTATTTTAATATTATTATAGCAACGAGAAAGAGTACTTACGGTACTTTATTATACGAATTAAAGAAACTTTGGTAAAAATTGTAATAAAAAAAGCGATTAGTTGAGTTTAGAGTTGATATAATAGAATGATCGTGAGTTTAAATATATTGAAATTTAAATGATATTATTTTTAACAATAGATATAATTTCTATGTCGAATAAAATTTCTTCTACTTACAGACATTTTGAATATTTTCACTTCTTTTCCTTTTAATTTTTCAACTTTATAAACTGTACTCGTGTAATACATGTTGCAGCTTGTCGTGTCACTGTCCTTGCACTGTACAAATAAATAAGCATTAGAAGTTAACATTTGAATTACGTATTAAATAATTGTTAAATTAGTGAATATTACTATTTCGAAATCAAAGTTAATACAGAAATGTGAGACTTTATTCGTTAAATCATAAATTAAGTACTATGATATGATAAACATTGAAATTAAATCAATACATAAAATTTTTGTGCACTCATCAACCCCACTAAATGGGAAAATACTAAAATATTATAGTATTTTCTCATAACTCGTGTGAAATTCTGAAAAAAGAAAACAATTTTATTAAATAACTACAAAAACTAAAATAAAATTATCCGTTAAAAAAGCTGCAAATTTTTAAAATTTTGTGAGGAAAAAAAATTAAACTCTTCCGCGAAAATATTCCTTTATCGCGAATCTTTATCGCGTTAAAGGAATTTTGACGAACATCTGACAGTTCGACTCATTAATACAACCCGTCACATGACACAAATCTTAAACCTCGATTGGAGGGGACTTACGAATAAAAAGGGCTAACTCCACAATTTCTTTTCCAACCGTTAAGCTAACATCTCCATGACTTCCCTAACATCCACATCACTTCCGAATCGCAGCTCAGTGATACATCGTAGTAAACAAATAGAGTTATTTCATCTTGAAATTTGTAAACTCTGTCTCTCGCCTCATGCAAAAATTATAGATACCTCATATCGCGATAATTAGCTAGTGTCAGGAATAACAGGAAGTTTGTACGAGCTTCCTGTCATCGAAAAAGAATCTATTCATTGAAAGAATGGGCGAAACGAGTCCGACACCACGAATAGGATAAGAGAATTATCTTTTTACCCTAGATTCCCGCACTTGTATCGTGGCCCTAATATTGTTATGATAATGCAACCATAATTTATTAAATTTTAAAGAAATGAATATGTATAATAATCCTAGCTTACATAATGCCACTGTTTATTAGTATCTGCAACGTGAAACTATACGTTATCTGTTTAAAGCATTGCATTTTCTATTATACCACCACTGGTCAAAAGTTTTAAACATTCTATAAATTTCTGCACCTCAATATTTAAAACGAAAATTTTAAAAATATTTTATGTCTGCTATTTGATTGATTATGAAAATGTTTACAGGATATGCTTATAGATATATAAGCATGTGATGAAAATTTTTCTTGTGAAGTTAGAGTTTAGAGTGTGGTGATGCAGCATAAACTATACATTGACTCTATACATGAACACAAGACAAAATGTTTGCCACCCGAAAAAACATTTAAGGAAACACTAACCGTATTTATCTGTTAGTGACGTGAAGATGAACCTGACGTAACAAATCCATTTTACGACCCTCTTTCGTTGCCAATATTTATTAGTTTCAACTATTTAACCAGTAATGAGAAATTTAGCTTAAAACATGTCATACGACGGTGTTTAAGATATCGCGGATAAATTACACTAGAATGCAATTGATTATAAATTTACAATTAAAATGATTAAAATTAAATCGACTTTAAAATCTCATAAAAATGAAAGAACAATAAAAAAGTAATGAGTACTTTCATAGTTTGTCCTTGTAAACACCAGAGAAATGTGAAAGTTTATGGCAGATTCCGCATTTTACTAGAGGACACTCATATGCCAAAACAGGAAATATGTTAAAAGACATTGTTCTTGTACAGATCATTACGTAACCATATGTTTTTATGATTGTGCCGATATCAACAAAAACCTTCTGTAATATTTTGCATATTCAGAAGATAAGCAACCTCTAATAAAACATTTGCTCTTCAGCATATGCGAAGTAACTGTTTCTGAAAACGACTTGAAACTCGACTTTTGTCTTATATTTGACACTGCATTCTAATAAATTCCTAAAATACTACGCTAATAAATTCCGAAAATACAAATTCAGTAAAATACAGGTAAAATTTCGATTTTCCACAGTAAATATTTTAAGTATATTATGGCCCATTCTCAAGGATCACTCCAAGTGATTAACTCTAATTGTTCGTCGTAAGTTCGGGCTCCGAGTATGCTGGCAAAGTAAAGTTTTTCGAATTTCATTTACGTTTGTAACATGTAAATAGGGTCCAGATTTCCACAGAATGTCCTCCAAGGAAGTATCTTCTCGGTTTAATCTAATCTTTCTAAAAAATTTAAACATATGAAGAGTAAAAAAAATATTACTTACTATCTTAACGTAAGTCTCTTCTACACGAACAAATACAGAATTTTTAATTTCTCCTCCCAGCACAAAACTTTGATTGTTATTTTCGTACATAAACCTCAGAAATATTTTATTATATATAAAGAAATTGTAGTGAAATTCCACAATATAATTCTTTTGGATTAACTTGCTTGATAATTCCCCTGAAAAATATAATATTTTCAATAATACATATAGAGGTATATATACAGTATGCAACAGATGAAAGTAACTTCGAATTGATAAAAATAGGTTGAAAAGTAATTAAAATTATTGCATAGATAAATATATATGTGGCCTATATAAAACAATATGAAGTTTTATTTATAAAATTAAATCACAAATTGAAACAAGGACGTGTTTGTATTATCGTGCTCTAAGCAAATTCCTTGTTTAACTATGTAAAAAATAGGCAATAGCCTAATACAAATACTGCTATTAAACAATATTCGAAAATTTTTTGCAGTTCAAATGTAATCAATTTTAGAATAAATATTGACGTATTGCGACAAAAAAGGCTACTACTCAACGTCTATTAAATAGTTATAACTATAAAAACGAATGGAATGAAGCAAAACTCATATTGAAACTAGACCTACACTCGTTATAATACAATTATCTATAGACTAATCTGAAAGATTTAAAGTATAGAAATATAAAAATATAGAAGGAAGTGAGTCTTCTCTTCTACTGTTGTATTCATTCACCGGGAAGAAAACAATTTTCCTTCACATTTATTAGCTTAAAGTCCATGTATTAGATGTTTCACCTGTGCAATACCATGCAAAACAGTTAAAACGTTTTTTGAGGATAAGCCAACCATTTAAAATCGTTCAAAATTTTAGTTACAATTAAAATGGCTAAAGGTATTGGAACAATATTTTAAAACTGTTTTTTGCAGATGATTACACAAGACAAACGTACAGATATAGATTCTTTCATATTTTTAAATTGTATTAACATTTAATTTGCATTTTAACAATGTAAAAATAATTTTATACATTGTTTAGTCTAAAGACTTATTTAGCATAGTTGCAGTATAGTATTGTTGAGGTGTTCCAACGTCATTTCTAATGTGAGTTCATCTGTTATCTGAAATTGTTACATTTCAAAACAATAATAAAAGGATAAGAAGAGTAACAGAAAATAAAAATTGTTGATTGTATTTAATTGTTTATACATTAACTTCTGTTGTTCAAATAGCGAAACGTAAGTGTATAAATTTGTACTATAAACGTAACTAAAATATTAAAGACGTTGAGTTTCTTTGGGAATGAAATTAATAAATATTATTCAGAAATGAATTTTACTTACATGCTTCGTCTTTAAAATTACCATACAAAATTACTACGCTTAAGAGTTTCAAGTGAAGAAGCGTCATATTTTCTCCTGTGTATAAAAAAATTCACAATATGAAGCTTTTACACTAAAAACAGTTCATAAACTTATATTTATATATAATATGAAATATATAGTATTTTCACGCATATTAAAGCTTGCTGTTATAAGAGAAGTACAACACGTAGATAACGACACAAAATTTTTACATATATGATCATGTACTTTTATGCGAGGGAATCGCGTATATCTATTTTAATTAATTTATTTTACATAAGTACATACATAAAACAATTTATCCATGATTGAAAATAATGAACGATAATCTTATATGTTGAAAACAGTAAAGATTTCTCTAAAAATTTACGAACGTTTACATTACATGTCATGAAATAATATATACAATAAGTTGTATATCAGTACGATTTAATTATTTTCAAAGAATGTTTTTGATGCAGTTAAACAGTACCTTAAAATTGAACCATTACGCGAAATTTCTCCCTGATGTTCCATTTCCATGGATACTGCGAAAAGATTTTCTAAAAATTCAGTGTAATAATTGTATACTTTTTCAATTATATAAATATAACGTCAATTATTTATACAATACAGTAATGTAATAATATAATATAATATATAATAACCGTTTATTAACTATCTTATTTAAATTTATTCGTAAAATGAATGAAATTTAAACAATTATTTTTTTCGAAAATACTGTTAAGTCTGTCACAAAATAATTTTTTTAAACGAGGCGAGAGAAAAAGACATTTTCTCTACCGTCCATCATATTATCACCTTGTTTTTCAACCCTTACACTCAGTAACTATTCTAATTTGGCAATGACTTAACTGGTCTTAACCTACTCCGAATCTTTGTTTGTTATACTTATCAACTGTAGATAGAATACTAACAAAAAAAAACGAAAGTTTTTTACTTTGATTACTTTAATTAACAGATGCTTTCTTCAATATCAAATTCGATCATAGATATAACAAGATATTTCTTATTAGATTTCCTGCTTTCTTCTTTGTTAGCCGTTGACAGTAGATAATATCTATTGTTTACGACCAAGTGTCTCGACGTTTTCTACGTCGACATTCGAAAGTACATTCGTTTTCACGAACTAATCATTTAAACGTGTACAGGTTTATTTCCAATAGTCACGAAACTTAAATCGTTTTAAAAACTCTCACAGAAACAATAATATAAAATGAGTAATTTTCAATAATAATTAAATTTTTCGTTTTAAGACAATAGAAAACTAATTTCTTTTAAGCGTAGATTAATTGCCAAATTTTAGGGTGAATATTAAAATGTCTGTATGCGGAAAATTTTTTCATATTTTAATAAAATTTTTGAATATACACATTGTAATGACATCATAAACAATTATTTTTATAGTTGTGCGGAAACGTAGAGTTGATATATGAAAAATTGATTACACGCAACAAGCAGGTTATTAACGAAGTAGTAGTAATTATTCATTACAATTCAAGTAATAGTAAATATAAATGTCTGAGACCCACTTTCTGATTTAAAACTGCATAACAGAGATCGATGAGAAATAATTAATTTTATTTTAAAAAAACATTTTGCCATTTAATTGCAAATTCTATTAGAACATATTTAAAGTTAACATATTAACAGACGTCTTAGTACGTCATACTGGTCCCATGTTTTATTTCTCTGTAATTATTTAAATATAAAATATAAATTAAGCATTAATATAGAATGCTTGAAGGATAATTTTTATTTCGATTTTTAATCAATTATACATTTCTACAAGAAAATACTTTTCGAATTCAATAAACAATCCAGCAACGAATGTGGCATAGTTGTTCGGCTGTTAATAATTTTATATTTTTAAAAATATCTTTCGTAATATTAAGCAAAATAAAAAAAATGGAGTGTAGCGTAATCTGTTATGAATTTTTGTTATATAAACTTTTTATATTTTTAATTATCATAACTGTCAAAAAGCTTAATTAAGAGAATAGGGGTGAGATTTATAAAAATGTATATGTTGATTATGAGTAAAATTTTCTTTTTCTCACACTTTTCGAGATATGACACATAACGTCTTTCTATCTCCTCACCCTCTTGATCTTTAACCACTAAAATTTAATACAATAAATGCCCTTCGAATACAAAAACCAAGTTTCACATGGAGATTTGCAGTACTTTTTGAGTTTAAGACCTTCTTAACCCCCAAAAGTAAAAAAAAATACCAGGAAAAAGTACATGAATAAGTCTGTGTTGAAATCTATTTCGCTTAATACCTCAGGATGCGGTGAGGATTAATATAAGAAATTTGGCACTGTATACGAAGGGCATTTGCAGATTTGCAGGAGACAAAGTGACACTTTGTCCATGGAGACATAGTGTCGTTTTCACCCGACAATGTACACTACACCTAGACAAAGTGTACTTCTTAACATTCCTATCACAAAAACTAGAATCAAACAATCCCGTTCTCTAAACACAATCGTCCAGGAAAATTGTTTATTGTTCGCCCTTTAGTAAACGTTCTAAAATATTATTTTAATTAAGTAGTTTTCGAAATGAACTTAATCTCATTTTCGCGTGTAAAAGTTCTGGTAGCGTTTTAATATTATATATTACATCCGAGACAGCAAATAATGAATCATAAATTATTTTTACTTTAAATAAATTAAAATATATTGAACAGATATTAAATATACCGTACTTGCACGAACTCACGAAATTGGCTCTAAATTATTTTCTGCATATATAATTATTATTATTCATTAAACATAACTTTTCTAGTATTGTGATTTATTTATTTATTAAATATCTGAATTATGGTTTTGCGTTGTATTGATTGATGGAATAATGCAATCAAATACTAATCGATTCTCATTTCGATAAGCTTAAATATCAATCAAATACACCTGATTGAAAGTCAATATAACTTAATTAGGTATTATAAATATAAAAACATAAAAAAATGAGTTAATACATAATACTGTATTATAAAATAAAAATTGCATTTACTGTATCTTATGGAAATTGGTCATATCCTCTCTGGCTGTTACAGAAAAAATTTGAGGTTGGTTTAGAAGTGAAGTCACTTTTAATAAACTCAGAAATTATCTCTATATCTGGTGTTATTTCTCTTCTCTTTTTTTTATTCTCCTAGTTTAGATTTTGGTTTACATAGTTGATGCTTTTATTTTTTCCTTGTTCTTAGGAGTGGTGTACAGACTGCAGACTATTTAAAACGTGTCTTCCAGATCTTCCATACGTGGCTTTCATGCTTAGTAAAAAGGTTTTTTCACATCAATCCACTTAGGCTTTGTTTCTCTTATCTTTTTGTTGGATGCCATGGTTTATGCTAAGCTACTACAGGGTGAACCTCTTTATTACAACAACTCTTACGTTCCGTTACGTATTTTATCTATCACCAACAGTTTTTAAATTTGTTATGGCAAATTATTTGATTTAAAAAATAAAAAATCACGAAAACCGAAACTGGCAACAATGCAACATTAGTATAAAAAAGTTACTAACAGTGATAAAACTAAATCAACGTATAAATTGAGTCAAAATTACCAAAATTTTACTTTACAACTATAATGTTTCGATTAGCAATACTGCCAGGACAATCTTCAATTTAATTATAACGTTCAGAAGCACATTTATTCATTTATTTCAGTAGTTCTCCTGTTTCAATATTGTCAATTTTCTTACGAGGAAGAGAGGGCTACGTTATTTTTCTTTTTTCTTTAACTGTAAACATTGGTTAATATGGATTTTGACAGGTCTACCGTTATACCAAGTAGTGAGTTTACGATGACATTGATCACGGTTCACTGAAGTAGCTATTGTAAAAATACACAAAACATACAGTACTTTCATAGATGTCAAATGCTCGGAATCTTTTCCTCATGATTTCATGTTGAAAAATAGCTATATTTTTCCTTTAATAGACGTGAAAAGTTTTTATTTTTCTTTTGCGTGAAGACACCAGGGAATGAATCACTTTTGTAAACACTTATATTTAATAAATAAATGACTACATTTTTCAAATATTAAAGTGGAATGCTTACAGATAAGTGTATATTATTATTTATTACAAAATACACGATTAATTGCACCCTCACATCTCATGCTTCTGTAGGTCAAGACTCAAAAGTATTACATAATGATTTTTTTTGATTTGGTTTAATTAAGTTATGGCAACGCAACACTTGAGCGATCTGGTTTGGCTGAGTGCCTTCCAGGAGGACTTTTAAGAGTAATTGGCCCACATTTAGGCTTTACGGACATGAAGAAAACTCGAAAAATTCCACGCGCAAACCTACGACCGAACTCCTAGTGTTTAGGAAACAGAACCGCTTGGCTACTGATAGGCCATATTTCATAACGATATGTTTTACTCGTTGTGGAAACAAATAGTTAGGTAAATCAAGTATATAAATACATTTTTTTTGTCAGCATAATTACAGCTATTGTAAATCTTGTGTAAACCTATAAATTTTATTTAATATTTTAGTAGAAGCAGATAATTAGATAATTTCTCCATATGCTTCCGTGCATGCCCGTATATCACATACAAGATGAGTGCGGATTCAAAAACAAAAAGAGAATTTATATATGATTGATTGTGAGAAAAGCTCACAAATTTACATAAAAAATAGCCCAAAAATTAACAGATTAGTATTTCGGCAACGATAATGTAATATATAACATATGGATGTAACATACGTTTATTGCGACAACAGGCGATCTGCCAAAGGAATAAAAGCTTCCTGGAAGAAATTTTAAATATCTATCACAATTTTAGTATTATAAACGTAAAGAAATCCGGTAAATTCCGCATGACTGCCGGTTAGTCGGGTGCTAAACCGCAGCTAATCATTAGTGTTCGCTGGTATTATTCACAAGCAACTGGAGCACTAAATGACATGGATATAAATTCTGAAAATATATATTATTTTATTTAATATTTTAGAATAGTTAAAAATTTTCAACAGATTATTTTAATTACCTTTATTGTCGTTATTTAAGCTGTATTGCGAAATTTTTATATATTCGGAATTAAAAAAATTAAACTGATCAGACACAGAAGCATTATTTGCTCAGTCAGCGTTGAAATCTTATATACTTGTGTCTTTTGCACAAATTTTATCACAAATATTTACAGATTCTTGTCAAAGTTTTATCTGAGTGAAGAGACAAATTCCACTCTCTGATGAATTAGCAAATACGAAGATAGAAAGTGATAAACTAAATATAAAATTAGAAACATTTATCAATGAATATGGAATTTATAATACTTAAACAACGAGCGAACGTGATAGGCGAATATATACAATAATGATGAAACAACACTTGGATATGTAATTAAGCCTTATAGTTTTTTGTGTACTAACTGTAATTGATTGCCTTGTACTTTTTGTTTTATGTATTCATACTTAATATATAAATGTTTGTAATACAGTAGACCTCCTATTACACTGAAGATAATTCCGTGTTATATGAGTTCTATGTTGTACGAGTCACTTAGATTTTACAAATACGTCAGCCGTTCACAGCCTGGCACACATATTTGTAAAATCTAAGTGACTCGTACAACATGGAATTCATATAACACGGAATTTTCTACAGTGTTATAGGGGGTCTACTGTATACAATTATTTTTAGTGTTATAACTACGGGTTGCATCATAATATACACGTTTATTTGTAATAAATATTAAAAGTTATGAATAGAAAACCAGTTTAACATAGAAACTTTTCCTGCAGGCACCCTTCTCGGCATATCGCTGATTTTTCAACACAGTTTTAAAAATATACTACAAGATTTTACTTTATTAATATTGAAAATACGGTATTTATATGGCAATTGTTTATATTGTTGTGAGTTTTCTCAGAGATTTAAAAATATGTTTTGTACAATTATCAACCTTTCAGTGTACAATACAGATGTTCAAATTCGACGGTATCTAGTAATATTGGTTTGTAAACATATAAAATTAAACAGTAATTTATAGAATGATTGTATCTTCATTACGGATAAAGTTATCTAGATATTTGGAAAATTCCTTTGAATATTTTCTTAGTGGTTTCTTTTATACGAAGCAGATGTTTCTTATTAATTAAGGAATTTATTATAATTACCTAACAATTCTGCACGGTGAATTTATAATATTTTGCATATGATGATAGGTTCAAATTCTGTATTGTCCACAATCATGATTCTAAGTGGATCAGCGAAGGAAGAAACAAGAGAGTAGTTGCGGCCGAAGTTTTCATCTCTCGAACGTGAACGTCGAACGTCGAGCGCCACGCTTGAAGTTCAGAGTTCAGGTTTTAGAGATAAAAACTTCGGCCTCAACCTTGCTATTTTGATTTACAACTCATTTTATTTTATTTTCGATACAGCGTGGACGGTTGTTTAAATTAATTTAATTTAATTTAATTTAATTCAGCAGTTAACTATAAATAAAAAATATGGATAAATAAAGAATTTTTAATTAATGCAGCGATAAATTCGAATTTACTAAATTCTGTAAGCTATGTTTAATACTTGTGTTCTTGAACAAATGCATAACATTATATAAAGTATTAATTGTTAATTTATCGATTTTCTAANATGCTGGTTAATCACACAATGAAAAATAAATATTAATGTTTATCGTATATATTTGATTAGTTTCAATTTTGTTTATGTGATATTTTACTCGTGTGAATTAAAGTTAAATGTAAATACTATAAAGTATAAAACCTAAGCATATAGTTTGATGATAAGATCTACATTATCACACAGACGTAAGACGTGAGTGACAGCAAAAATTTCGAAGCAGTATGAAAAATGTGTAATATGTAATGGAATATACGTGTATGTATTAGTGTATGTGTATGAGTAAATGTAATATAACTGTGATATGAAAAATTTATGGCTCAGTATTATATATAAAAATTACAAGTGGAGAATAAACAATTATAAACTAATAAATATATCAAAACAGCAGGAGTAGTTAAGAGAAAGACAGTGAAGTGGTGCGAACATGTTAAGAGAACGATACTGGGGACTTAGAAAGGAATTATAGTTATCAAGGTAAGTTAGACTGGAACAACACCACGTAGAAAGCCAGCAAAGAGATAGGTAGACTATATTACACCAGATACAAGCAATTGGCGATCGATGATGAAAAAACAAAATTAAAGCATAGCGAGAGTGGCACACTATTCTAATGGCGTGCAATATTGTGACAGATTTAATGTTATCTTGAGAAGTACTGAATAATGATGTATAACTGAATATTACTTTATTTTGTTGCATCTTTACAGTTTAATACAACATCAGATATAAACCAATTCTTCGAAAATTCTGTACAAGAAAGTTGGAAAGGTGGATGATATAAGACAATGTAATATGCACTAATCTCCCACCGGAAATGCCTTCAGCAAGGATTTCCTATGTGATATTGACCGCTTTTTAAGAGTTAGACACATAAAGAAAACTCGGTAAACTCTATACGGTTAATCTTTTATTCCAGGATCAAACTCAAAATTAACTGCCAGTGTTTAGCAATTATATTTACACTACATTGTTGTATGACCCTCAAAATTGTTTCTGTAAAGTCTAATGTTTAGCACGCATTTATTATCGAACTTTAAATATCCTGTGAAGATATGAGCTAAACAACCATAGATGATAATATATTCTCAATTATTTATTTATGCAATATAATGCTCTCACAAACAGTTAACGTCGTAACGCCTCGACAAATTCACCATATAAGCGCTTTTAATTCTGAATATTTTTATAAACAATCAAAAATGATTACTTTACTATTAATCATTAATCAATTAATAACCAATAATAAATAATTAATTACTAATAATTTTCTAATATTTAATTTATGATTAATTAATTAATTATTTTTATAATTATAACCAATGGTTGTTTACTACAATAACTGATATGTAAACTGCAACAATTTAGTGTGCACATGACATCGCACAACCTATCATATTCTCTTATTAAGACGTCATCACGTTAAGGATTTTAATGATATAAAAAGCAGTGTAGACAAGAAATTACTGTATTTTTAGAGGAGATATTTTATTACAGAAAGACATGAAGCTGCAGAAGTATATCTCGTCCGACATTTTCAATAGGAAATTAATGTAAGTGATTCTTATTTAGTATAGTGTTTCATGTTCATTTTAAATGAAATGATTGTTTTTAATTAAGTAAATTGTATAAATTATATTTCTTTAGAAATAAAGACTTTCAACACAGTAGTAAAGTAGTATTTAATTTAAAAGATTTAATTAATATGCAACGTATGCAATTCAGTTTAAAAGTGATGATCCAGACAATAATATAACAACCAGCAAATGTGATTACTCAGCATTATCCCGCAGAATATTTTTAATTATAAGATTAACTGTAGTAATTTATGAAATGGATAGGGAAAGCAACGCTTGGTCGATCCCCATAATTGTGTTAGACACGTGTTAGTCAGGTGCGAACCCGTGACTTAATAAGCTGTAACTTTTATAATACGCTGGGATTTGAACCGTATACACGACAGAACATTAATCCTGAGCATTTCATCTACATTTTTCATTGGAATGGCAGGCGAGAAGGCTAAGGGGTCTACCTATGGTTCTGAAACACAAGCGAATCCGAGCGAGTCACTTTATAATTTCTTATGTGGGGTGTGTTCCTGTTCCGTTCTGAGCTAATTTATTAGAAATAAGGCTTTATTATTGCGCGTAAATATAGAAAACAAGCTACAGTCATGTCCATATATGAACTTCCATCTACGGCAAACGTCTTTAATAAGTAGCATTGAAACATTTCTTATTAACCTCTCGTTATACATTATTAATATAAAGTCTATTTTACGTATCACCCACATTTATATTTTTACAAAGTTATTATTTAAATGATTAAAATGTTTATATTCTTTCAGAAAATGGACTCTGCTTTTAGTCTTCTTTATCCCTGTTGCGCTTACCTGCCAAAAAAGTAACAACAAGCCTACTGTTAGAGAATACGAAGGGTAAGTTATGAAAAACACAAAATAATTATATAATACAGTTAAACCTGCTAATGAAACCGCCTGTGTAAAACGACCAATTTGAACTGGTCCCTTCAGTGGTCACATTAGCATGTTTTGCTATATGTGAATTGCTTCGGGGTCTTTTCTGATAATAATAATATATTTAATACTTTTAGGAGAATTTTTATTGCAGCTCCTAAAAAATTAGCTTTAGACACAAACATAACATTATACATCGTAGCGTATAATGTTCCTGAGAATGAAGTACTAGACCTTACAATAAAGGACTATCCTGGAAGGACAAAAGTTATTACATCCAACATAGTTGCTTTACAAAATGGTGTGTATAAAATATTTTAAACATTTACTTAAAAAATTTTTTATAAATTTAAATAGGTTATTGTATACACATTTTCATTTCATGTTTTTCACAAGTAGTAATATGTTGACAGCTTGCATAACGCATTCTGTGAGCGAATGGTACTTTTAACTGATATATCTTGTACCTCATGCAACATTTTAATTGAAATTTCAGCGTGTTGTACATTTAATAATAAGCATAAGTGGGGAACATGTAATAAATACTACACGTAAATCCAGTACTGGTCAAATCTTAAAGAATTATTCGGGGTGGTGTGAAAGTCTGGCACCCTCTTCCTATTGTAAGATCTTTCTAACCTACGATAGGCCTGAAAAATGTCTGTTATTTCCTACACAGCGAATAAATACAACGGTATGCTATATCGTAAGGGTTGGATTTTCACAAAAGGTATAAGTCAAATTTTTCTTTTGTAGAGAGAACAATGCTTTTTATGTGTTAATTAATAATTAGAGCTATAAGTGTAATTACAGCAATGAATACATGTAAATTTGTTTTTCTTAAATAAGGTAATATTATATGAAATTTTATGTCTCACGCATAACAGTAAATTGACACGATGTTTACGTCACAGGAGTTCCAGTTCCCGTAGACATTAATTTGCCTTCCGAGGAACTTCTCAATTACGTCGAGATGAGTATATTTGGTACAGCATACTTACATGTTATTGTGGAAGCAAAAATAGAAGAAAAATTTAAAACAGATATGAAATTACCTATTGACTACAGTAGAGGCTACGTTTTTCTTCAAACGGACAAACCTATTTATACTCCACGACAAACAGGTAATGCTTAAAAGATATTAAATTTTGAAATGTGAGTAAAGTTGCAAATTTGTTAAAGTAAACATTATTTTATTAAATAGAAAATTTAAAATTTAATTAATTAAATACTTTACAGTACAAGTTCGAATTATTCCATTGAACGAAAAGATGTTACCAGAAAATTATAATCTTCGAGTACAGATAAAGGTAATACAGTCGACCCCCTATAACACTGTTGATAATTCCGTATTATATGAATTCCATGTTGTACGAGTCACTTAGATTTTACAAATACGTATGCCGGGCTGTGAACGGCTCACGTATTTGTAAAATTTAAGTGACTCGTACAACATGGAATTCATATAAAACAAAATTATCAACAGTGTTATAGGGGGGCCGAATAGAAATAAATTAAGGTACTAACATATAATAGAAAAATTTATATGGGATGGATCGAAGAATGCAGTGCAACGGATGGACGATACGTAAGGAAGGTGGTTCACCATGAAGGACATTGTATAAAAAATTTTCCTCTATTCTAATAATAAGATACTTTAAAAAATCCTCAGAAATTTTTATCTTGCTGGTCGTTGGGGGCAGTTAAAAATGTTAAAAGTTTCTTCTGTTTAACTGAAGGAAATTACTGAAACACTGCAAAATACATACATAACTGAAAGTCAGTTATGTATGTATTTACATGATAAGAAATTTGTATTATAAAATAAATTACATAAAAACAGTTACAATTTATTTCATTTCAAACCTGTTCTGTTCGATTTCAGAATCCTCAAAATATTATTGTTCAAGACACTCTTATCAGAGATCCATGGATTCTATCCTCGAGTCAATTTCCTAAAATGAATTTTACCTTCCCTCCATTCCCCATGTTAGGAAAATGGAGTGTATCAGCTTTGTATGGAATTCAAGTAACTATTTTTTATATAAACATGTATAATAACCTATATGGAATTGTATTTAACTAGATGAAACATAGTTTCAGAAACAGTCATCTGTGTCATTTCACGTTGAAGAATACAGTAAGAAAAATTAATAGTTATTTTATACAGAATGACCCAGAAGTCAGTTAATTATGCTTTTCCTTGCTTACAAGCTGGGTAGATAAAGATGGTTCACTAATGTGTTAGCCATGTTTTGTTCATTAAACTTGTGGCACCTAGTTAATGCAACATTACTTAAAAATTAGCCACAAATTACGTATAAATTTTTATTTATTATTTGTAATAAAAGTATTTTGTTAGGCACGGTTAACTAAATTTTGGGTCATATTTTTCATAGTTTAGAAATATACATCATATGTTGTTATACAATTTTAGTATTACCAGTATTTGCTCTGAAGGTTCGAGTGTCGAGTGCGATTTTGTCTAAAGATGGAAATATTAATATTACTGTAGGGGCAAAGTAAGCAGTATTAATATTCATATAAACCAATAATATAAAAAATTAAGATGTGCATAATTTACAGCTATATACATGGATCGGATTTTCATGGAAATATAGAGTGCAAATTAAACATTGTGACTCAAGGAAACCAGATAATTCCAGCAGGAGTTAAAACTGCTGAAGTAAGTAAATTACAGTTGACCCTCTACAACACTGTTGATGATTCCGTTTTATATGAATTTTATGTTGTACGAGTCACTTAGATTTTACAAATACGTGTGCCGGGCTGTGAACGGCACACGTATTTGACTTTGTACAACATGGAATTCATATAAAACGGAATTATCAACAGTGTTATGAAGGGGGGGTCGACTGTATTGTGTTATTTGATATTCTGTAATTAGTAACTTTATTTTACAATGCTAAACTTTTCTTTCTTTCCATCATCGATAAAACCAGTCCACAATGGAAATGGCATGAAAACTAGATTCAATTTGAGTAATTTTAATGGAATAATTTACCCGTTAGATTTCTAATCAAATACAGAATTTAACCTTGCTCCTCCGTATCAACATTTCCTGTTAATATGGAAGAGTAAGAATTAATGTACTGTTTAATACTACAAATGTTTAACTGACAAACTAACAAGTTTAACTTGGTAATTGATAAATAAAAATAAACGTGTATATGACAAAATAAAGAAATGAATTATCTTTATGTTTTCAGCTTTACAATACAGAAAAAAGGATTTCAGTAACTGCTGAGGAACTTTTAAAAGAAGCACAACTTGAAAATTTTCCATTTAACAGCGAATTATCCATTAATGTTTCTGTAACTGATACAGCAACAGGAATAACAGAAAAAGCAGAAGAAGATCGTATTAAATTAGCTCTACCTCCGTATCGTATATCACTTAAGTATATGCTGTCCTACTACAAACCAGGATTTTCGTATGAAATAGTGGTATGTAAAGAAGTACTGTGCAATCACGAAATATTTGTTTACATAATGCATGTCAAATTATATATTTCAGGCTGATATCTTTTACTTAAATGGCAAACCAGCAGAGGAAATTCCCGTTATAGTTAATGTTACAGATTCTAATGATAAAAAAGTAATTCTATCAGAGACAAAACATGTAACTAATGAAAACGGTCGTGTCATTTTCCACGTCATTCCACCTAGAGATATTAACTATATGAATATTGATGTAAGACAATTTCCTATTTAATTTAATATTTTTAAACTATACTTAACACATTTTTTCATTAATATGTATATTTTGTAATGTTAATCTTATAATTGAATCGTGTGTAGGGATGTTGCCAATAACACTACTGCAACACATCTCACATCTTTTGTTTATTATTATTTTATTTTTCCAACTTTATCAGGTAAGAACAAATGACAACAGATACGAAAGTGAACAGCAAGCTTTTGCAATACGAAGAATATATAAATTTGCTTCCAATAATTTTATATCGATATCGAGAACACAATCAACGAGGAAACTAAAAGTATGTAAGAATTTCTTAACGTTGCAAAATATTTGTTAAATAAATGGGTCCTTCAAAATGGAAGAAGTGATTATTAACGTATTAAATATCTTTTGTACAGATTGGAGAAAATTTTGCTGCAACCGTTTTTACTAATCCACCAGATCAATTCGAAAATATATTTTACGTAGTAAGTATAAACAATTAATTTCTTTGAAAACGTTCCTGATTGTTTTTTAAAATTGGTTGGATAAGGCGAAATAACACATGGACAGAGAAATAAAGTTGCAAGTGTAATGCTAACTGAAAATACTTTCTTTAGTAAGCCTGTCCTTATTTGAGTTGGCCTGTTTTGCCATACTTACGATAGATTCTACTAGGCCCATAACGAAGGCGATCAGAAATGAAGTAGATATCCGGAACTAACACGTAAATAATTTCTACAAGTTGCTTCCCTGTATTTTACCGCAGATCATCAAGAACGGTTTTCTGATACATTAACTGCTTGTACTTTTTTCTTTATTACAGTTTTTACAATGCACATAAAATTCGTAACTATAATAAATTCACTATTTATTAAAATTTCGTTTCATATTTATTAACAGGTTATGGCTCGTGGAAGAATTCAGCTTATGAGACCTATAAACACAGAAAAATCATACCAAAAGCAATTGGATTTTATCGTTACGAGCGAAATGGCACCAATTGTAAGAGTTGTAGTATTCTCTCTATTCAATAGAGAACTATTTGTCGATTCCGTAAAAATTGAAGTGGAAGCAGACTGCGACAAAAAATCTAAGGTAAAATTGTGAAAAAAGTGGTAAAAGTAGGAATAAATCTAGTGGTTAAACATACGTAAATAATAATACCGTATGCATACTTCTAAAGAAACTAGGCAATAATTCCCTTCGCGATCGCGATAGGGAATCTGGATCTGTTCCAGAACTACCTTTAACACTATGCTGGTTCACAATTGCATCACTTTAGTCCAGTGGTTTCCAAACTTATTAGTCCCACGTACTCCTTTTTATAGCAAAAAGCCTGACCATGAACCCCAAGTGAAATAACTCTATACAACTACATTATAAATTTTGCTTTAAAACACAAAAGTATATTATTTTTTTATGAGAATAGTGAATCTGATGGAGTGATATGAGATTATTTATGTTCGGCTCGATGTTTGTGAGTAAAATTCGTTAGTCTCCGCAAGTACTAATTTGCAGTCGATTTTTTTTTTCATCGTGAATAGATTCATAACTGTCCTAATCAAAGTTTTACTAAATAGGAAGATGGGGAAGCAATCAACTACTTCTGTACAGTGCAACGTAATGCGTGATATAAAATTGGTATCTGTTTTTGTAACCAGAATTTGTGGTATTCTTGTTCAAACATTAGTTTTAGCTCCTCATTTGTGGATAATTCAATAAGTTCCTCCTGTATTAGTATGGCTTCATCCGAGTTTGTGAGTCTATTTGGAAAATGGTTCAACACCCAATTGGAATTGCCCAAGTGATGAATATTCTCAAATCTTCGACTGAGGTCAGAATGAAGAGCAGTTAAGTGTTGACAATAAACAAGCAAATCGTCATCTCGTTTTTGCAATTTTGAAAGATTTGGAATCTGAGAGCATTCTCCTCTCTCCAAGTTTTGTTTGCATAAAAAAGTTTTGCAATAAGTACAGATATTATACTTTTACTTTTGAGTAAATTTAATTTATCACCTTGTAACTTCAAATTGGTTTCGTTAAATTTGGCAAATAAGTCAGTCCTATATGCCATGTCATTTTTTGAATTAATTAAATTGAGCCACAAATCATTGTCTTTGCTGTCCAGGAATTCCAACACTAAATCAAAGAGTGCGTAAAATCGATCCAAACATGCACCTTTAGATAACCAACGAACTTCTGTGTTAAGTGGTAAATGATTATAATCTTCATTATTTTCTAAAGAAAGTTGAGCAAATAATCTCTCATTTAAAGCATTCCTTTTGATTCTATTAACTACCCGCATGACATAGTCTAGTGAGCCATGCAAGCGTTCACTAAAGTTTTTGGAGACTAAATGATGTCAGTTAATCACACAGTGTACAGAAAATATATTCGGTTGAGCTTGCTTCAAGTATTCCAGAAAGTCTCAGTGTCGTCCTACCATTGCTGGAACACCATCAGTAGCAAACAGAGAGGATATTACTCAAGGGTATACCTTTTGCATCGAAAAATGTTTTTAATTCATTAAATATTGTTTCACCTTTTATATCAGTTTCTAAACATTTGGCAAATAACAATTCTTGGGAAATATTCTCATCTTTTTACAAATCTTACATAAACAAAAAGTAATGCTTCGTTTCCTGGCAAAGTTGATTCGTCAAGATGTATAGAGAAATTTTTGTATGCACTTCACATCACGCACAAAACAGAATTAAATTGTTGATTAAATGCACAACTCGTCTAGTGTCATATTCTAGACAAGTTATTCTATGTAGCGGCCAGATTCCGTTCATGTTCAAATCTGCATAGATAGACAGCCACGGTCGGCTCCACTCTCATAATGCTTGGTATATTAATGCGATTATGGCCATTACTTGTATACTGTATTTTATGTACCTGTACACTTATATTTTACTCAAAATGTAAAAATGGCTACCGATTTATTTATTGCTATTTATTTTTAACTATCCTAATAATAACAATAGGTCACAATTATTTTACTTTATATTAATCTTTTCGCAAACTCCCTAGCATTGTCCACGCACCCCAAAAGAATTTTTATTTGCCACAGACTCCAAAGTAATGCCAAGAACCCCCAAGGATACGTAGGAATCACTTTGGGAACCACTGCTTTAGTCGAACACATGAACAAAGAAAAGATCGAACATTTCTCTCAAATCGTAGATTTATTGCCATTTGAATAAATATATATAAGTGTAATTATAAAATACATTTATAAAATCTAAAAAAAACTAACAGCAAGAAAAATATACAGAGTATATTTCTGTTGCTTTTGGTTATTTTATGGTTCGGTTTCTTTTGTCTGATTAGTAAATATTTTAATTCATTTCTAATGTGTTCAAATTTTCGTATCTTCAGGTCATAATATCACGCAACGTAACTTATGCTGATCCAGGTACCGCTGAGCAAATTGAACTGAAAGGAAAACCGAAGACGAAAGTAGGATTAATTGGTGTGGATAAAGCAGTGTATTCACTAAAGAATGAAGATAGACTTACAAAAGAAAAAGTTAGTAACACTAAAGCATTGTGTTTTTTTTTGTATTTAGAGATTTATAACTTATTAATGTCAACAATTAATAAAATTTTAATTCTTATTACTAATTCTACAGATATTTAAAAAAATAGCTACGTCTGATTATGGTGCTGAAGTAGCAGAAGGAATGAATTCTTTAGACACTCTTTCCAATTCTGGTTTAGTTCTTTTTGGGAATTTTGAAGTAGAAAATACGTACAATGAAGACATAGGTGAAATTTTTTCAAATCGACTTTACATTATTTACAGAATAACTATAAATTTAATAGAAATCTTAAAAACATTACAGGAATTACATACTTTAGTATACTTCCTGATTTAAACGATTTTTTTACATTTGATCTGATTGATGAAAGTACTGAACACTCAATCCCAGTACGAAGTGATTTCAGAGAGACTTGGTTATTCGAAGATTATGAAATCGGGTATTTGATTTCATTTATTTCGATTATTTAATAAACATTACAGAAAATGTTATAAATTACAAAGCGAAAAACACTAATGTAAAGTGAAGTGAACACAGAATGGCTTAAAATTCAATTAACCGAAATATGTTTGACTATTAAGTTTAAAAACAATAATGAGTTTTTCCCAGTTTTTAAAATAATCTTATATGTATGAGTTAAGTGAGTTTTAAGCCACTTCGTATTTCGTAAAATACAGCTGTAATTATATGGTAGTAAATTTAAACACAACGAAATGTTAACAAGTAAGTATTTATAGTAAAATAAAGTAAAAAAGTGACGATTACAGTGACATTTCTTTAGACTTTTATAAGTTTAAATGCTAATTAATTAAATGGCACCAACTACTAGCAGTTTAGCAATATTAGGCCTATATAAAACAATAATTTGTGCTGAGTGTTTTCCTTTGTACGTTAAGATAAAATTGTTTATGGATATGTCATCCCATTAAGCGATAAGCAAAGAACATTAAGTTAAATTCTTATCTAAATTGTTTCTACTAATGTAGCAGAAGTAAGTTATTACAGCTGTATCTACAATAATGTTTACAGCAAAAATTGTACGAAAATATTGACACAACATTCAAATTCTGTTTTTAATACATCAGTATAGAAAGTTTAATTTCTTTTATCTAAGTTACTATTACTCTGAACGACACTTACTTTCGAAAATTCGAAATTCACTTGCTAATGTTAAGTATTAGGTAATGAAAATTCGCCTATTACTAGTATATTTTAAAAAGATAAACAATAAAAATTAGTAAAATTTCCATACAGTGCCTCATTCATAATGCACTATCTCGAGTAGAACCGACTACCTAAAAAATGTAAAAGAAATTGTTAAGGCACGTTGTATCTTTTCTGAGCATCCTGAAAAGATTTCTAGATTTCCTATTGTTAATGACTACTTGTATATTGTAAATATTGCATACAGTTTTATTTAATATCTATGATCTGTATTCATTGTTGAAATAACAGTATGCAACACTTAGCTCTCTGCCAAGGTGGTTATTTCCCTATGTTTGACTCCACTTAGGTGTTAGATAGGTGAAGAACACCTGGTAAACTCGACGTAGCCAGCCTGTTGATGAAGCACGTCCAGTTCAGTAGTTTAATTGTTTGGTAACTGATGAACAAAATCTATTTCCTAAAGACACAATTGATTGTGATAACTCATCAACATTGAAAAATTTTCAGTTAGAGTTAATTTTTATTTTAATAAACATATTTATTACTGAGCGATTTGTTTAGTTAAGCACTTTAATAAGCAAAGACCGTGTCATAATACTGCTTATCCATGTCAATTAATATTAAAGTCGTTTCACTATGCAATGGGCTTCATTTCTATAATTAAGATTGTGTATGCTAATAAACTATTTTCCTGTAGGAGTGATGGAACTAGAAAGCTTCGTCCGAAATTACCAGACAGCATCACAAAATGGGAGTTACAAGTTGTTAGTTTATCACCTCAGTGGGGAATTTGTGTTTCTGATGTCACAGAAATCTCATCATTGAAAAAATTTTTCCTTCACCTAAATATTCCATATTCTATTGTACGCAACGAACAATTGGATCTTCAAGTAACCGTGTTTAACTATTTAGAATACCGAATGCCAGTAAGTACAATTGACAAATTTTACTTTATTTAGTAATTTAAAAGTAAGAAAATTTTAACAGTTAGTAATTTTTGTTCTCAGTCATATTTGATATTTTATTATCGAACCACCGACATTCGAATTGCAGTTCTTATTTCGAATGTCGGGAGTTTCGTGTTCAGTGTAATTCGACAAATTACTATACTAATTCAAAGTACACCAGTAAAGTTATATAACTTCTAGCTAGGTTTTTTTATGAAAAATTCCGAGTTTATTCTATTAATTTTAGATTTATTTTTTATATTATATCAACAATATGTGTTGTTACTTTATGACTAACATGTATCCTACTATTTTAGGCGATTGTCTATATGTATGGTGTTAAGGATCTACTTAGCGGAGCAAGTGAAGGAGAAAAAAGCGAACGAATAAACATGACGCTCGAATCTAACTCTATAGAAAGGGTGAATTTTACGATTGTTCCATTAGTGGCTAAAGATTATGTCATTCGTGTTGTGGCCATTTGTCCCGCAGGTGTAGATGTGGTTGAAAAAAAATTACATGTAGTGGTAAGATATTATATTTTCAAGTTTCAAAAATATCGTATAAAACACAAAACATTTTATACAGATTTCATAATAAATATGTACACTACAGTCTCGATAGTTCGAATGTCAGTAGTTTAATGTTCAGTGTAATTCGAAAAACTATCACCCTAATTGAAAGTACAAGTACATAATCAGAACACAAAAATTATATACTTCAATATCATGAAATGCCATGCTCTAAATTTATAAGTACGACAAAATGTCTAATTTCAGCTGTTATAGTTACTGTATACTTTCATATACGGTTGCTTTTTGACCCGTATTCTACATTGCCAGTGCAGTAACGTTTGCATGTGAATAGCTGCAGGTAGAACTGCTTATGAATAATTAAATGTTACCAATTTTAATCGCTGTAGTAAGGGTTCAAACTTGATATTATACATGTACCATGTCTGATTGCATAAGACAAAATACTGAAGGTAGTGAAACATACATCATTGTTCTGTTAATTGAAAACACTTTTCTTGAGGAAATTAAAAAGAAATTTAAAAAATATCTAAGCAGTGAAAACTACAAAAAAATACATTATTTTATTAAATTAATGTAACTCATAAGTAACTAATAGTGTAAGTTTTACAATTATTGATACTAATTGTATTTTTACGAAAATATTCTAATATATATAAACAAGTTTAACAATATTCACTTAGTATAACTAATATATTTTATTAAACATATTCAGCCCGAAGGTATTACTGAAGAATTGGATTTTGTCAACACTATAGACCCAACAAATCAACAGAAAAGGAAAAAAGAAATACACATTGTTTCTGACGTTTTAAGAGGTGAGTATTGCAAACACTTATATTTTATTATAGGAAAAACACATAATTACATAAATATGTATGGTATATATACATATAAAAACTGGCATTAAATGTTTGTCCTATTTATATCGAGTTAATCATAGATATAAATACGACTTACTTATAGTAAATGTAAAAAATATTTTTTGTACTTTGCTTATATTTCTTAATCATTCAAACTTTTGAGTAATTGCCACTTACAGGAATTTTTTTACCATTAAATAATAAAGTTTAATATTGACAATGATCCTTAAACACAAGTTGCCATGCTCAATTTCGTTTATTAATTAATCATTACCCCACCTTGAAATATATTAAAACAAAGAAACTAACAAAGAATGAACAAAGAAACACACAGAAAAACGCAAATCCACAGAATTTTTCTTTGCTATTTGACAATTTGGTTGTTGAGGGGTTACAATATACAGTAGAGCGTCGATTACCCGAAAGTCAATCATCCGAAACGTCAATCATCCGAAAGAATTCCAGTCAGCAAATTTAAATTTTTGCCAGTGCTGTGGCGCTGTAATCTTTGGCTATGTCTTGGGATACTCAAATATTTTACGTTTTTGATACTAAATTAACTTCTAAAGTATAATTTTTTTATTGTTTTTCTATTTTTCAATATATTTATTTTGTTTGTACAAAAAAAAAATAATTTTTAACGATACAAGAGTCTTCGTTAGGCTTAACATCGACGAAAATTCAACGCGAAGCGACACTCAACGGAGAAAAATTTCAACATTGGATATATTAATACATTTTTCCGTGCATAATCGGTTATCCGAAACATCGATCTTCCGAACAACCCCAGTCCCCAATTGATTCGGATAATCAACGCTCTACTGTATTAAGATTTGGAAAACACGTTCAAGGTTATATTTTACACAATATCAGTACTTTTCCTTGTTATATACACAGATAGTGCAATGGCGTTCTTCAAAAATTATTCTTGATTGAAGATTATTTTATTTCATTTCATAAAGAATTGTTACTAAAAATAGTCGTAACATAGAAATGGTCATTACTAGAGGCTCGACGTAATCCACGAATAAAAATAAGTTATTTATATAGATAAATATTTATTTATTTGTATAGTTACTGTTACATTATTTAAAATAAATAAATAGTTTGTTTCTTAATTAATCAATTATATAAATTAGATATGATATTTGCATCGGAGCAGCGACAACAGATGATATTTTATGTTCATCCCAGAAGAAATTATATTCCTGGAACCGAGATGCTCATTTTATCTGTAATTGGTAAGATCAAGAATCCTTATACTTGTATAATAATTAAGGAAAATAATTATAAAATACGTTAGATTGCAAGATAATGTCACTTGTATTACTTTTACTGTATAATTATTTAATGAATTTCTTTCACAACGTGTGCATGAAAGCGATATTGTTGTAAGCTTAGGTGTCAGTTGAGAAGATATCCCACTTACTAAAATTAGTTAGTTCAGGGAAATTAATAGACTAAAACAAAGAATCCAAATTTATAAATTAGCAAATGGTATCTTTATCACTTGTTTTCTTTCAGATGTGATAAATATAATTTGATAAATTTCAGGTACTGAATACGGTCCTACAGCTCAAACAGTACTAATCGATCCAAAAGACTTAATTAGAATGCCCACTGGCTGTTGCGAGCAAACAATGACTTACTTAGGTCCAACTCTATACACTTTAAACTTCTTGAAAAGTAAAGGGAAAATTGATCTGGAAACAGAAGAAAGGTTATATGACTTCGTGGGTGAAGGTACGATCATTATTATTTAAAATTATATTGAATAAACAAATTAATTTGACTCAATATAACTTTACTTATTACAGGATATAGAAGAGCATTAACATTTAGAAACGAAGATGGTTCATTCTCTCTGTGGCCACGAAAACCTTCAAGTGTTTGGTAATTTAATTTTTGTACTTGTATTGTAATATTTCATTTCAATTTTCGTATATATTAATTCTCTAATCTGTAATTACTGTCTTGCATTAAAATTTACAGAAACTGTAAGTTACGGTTGAAATATTCGAAAAAGTATTATTTTGTAGTAAAAGTTAATTATTATTTAAAGTGGAATATAAGTTATAGTAGATAAGATACGAGTTCTCGTTATCTCACCAGACACATCAGTATATAAGTGCCAGTTTGCTCCACACTAATGGGGTGGCTATGTGAAGTATTCTGGATTTTTTAAAGTATCTGAATCAAATAGATGCCTGTTTGCTGTTATGCTGCCTCTCTTAGCAGATTTCACGAGTGTTGCTTTATCAAAATAATGAAATCTTTTATCAGAACAATGTAAACTCGAAAGAACTGTGTAAATTGTTAAGGCAGTGTTTCGGGCATAAAGTCCTTTATATGAGAGTAATTAAAGACTGAAAATTTTATAGAAAGTAAATAAAATATACACAATTGTGCATTATTTATCATACAAATATTATTTTTTCGTAGGTTAACGTCGTTTGTTACGAAAATATTCTGTCAAGCCAGCAAACTAATTTACATAGACAAAAATGTCATCTGCAAAGGAATGGAATGGATAACTTATAAACAAAACTCTGATGGCTCGTTCGAAGATTATTATCCCGTTATAAGAACTGATATAATGGTAGATTTTAATAATATTTACAGAAATTTCTGACGTATTAAATGAATTTTTCGATATAAAATGGAATTTTTTTCCATAGTACGGAAGCGATGGAAAAATCCCTATGACTGCATTTGTTCTATCTGTATTGCAAGAATGTAATTGTAGTTCAGTAGTGAGTACAGAAATGTAGTTTATTAATACATAAGAATTTAAATAAGTTTATTAAATATAATTTAAATTAAAACATTTGATTCCTAGAATATAAACGATGTACAACTGAAAGCGAAATCATTTCTGGAAATGCAGTATGAAACTGAAACCATTGATGATCCATACGTTATGGCATTAACTGCTTATGCATTTGCTGCAACAAATAGTAAGAAAAAACTAGAAGCAAACGAAATGCTCTTAGAAATGTCAACTTATAATGAAGGTAATTATTATATTGATAATTCTATAAAAATTTAAAAATAAAGCAATATATTTAAATAAAGACGTGATGAATTAACAATTGTTTTAACTTGCTTTACTAAGGACTAAATCAAAGATATTGGGACAGATCTTCGATAACTGAATCAATAGAAATTGCTGCTTACGGGCTTCTATCCCAACTGCAATTAAAAAATATGACAACCGCTCGTTCAATTGTTAATTGGTTGAATATACAACGACTGGATGGAGGATACTTCCCTTCTAGTCAGGTATTTATTAATACTTCATAAAGTAGTTATAGGTTAGAATCTTATTATCAAACACAAAGTTATAATAATTTTTATGGAGTCCAATAATTTTTGTAATTTTAAGAGAAACACCGTATAGGTGAGGCTGTAAATTTATATTTTTATACGCATATACTGTATATATTATTTTATATACTTTTTAAAACTTATTGAAATGTTAACAAGATTTATACTGTTATAAAATCGTGTTTTAACATAAGAAATAGTGTAGTTAATTATTTTCTAGTCATTATTTAAATTTCATAATCCGAATTTGGTATGTGATTTTTAAGTGTAGATTAGTGGTGTTAAGGTTGGTAAACTCCACATTACTATTAGAAAATTACAATCTTATACAATAAATATACAGTCTTATGCAAAAATCAATTAATCGTGTTTTTCTAAACAATTAAATAGTTATTATAAAAAATTTGCAAAGCGGTGCAGTAACTAAATGGGCTTTTTATATGAAACTTAGCGTAATTTCGCTTAGACAAACAATATGGACTGTTTGGTGTTTAAGATGGATACACTTTCATACAATGATCTAAATGTTTAGTATTTAGTTAAAGAAGTAGTTTAGTAATAACAATTACAAGCATTATTAAAGCTAATAACGAGAAATGAGAACGTAGAAATATCTTTTCACCTAAACCCAATGGATACAATAACCAAAATTTAGTTACAACAAGCAAAATGAAATAAAAATTGTAAAAAGATTTTATTATTCGATGTTTTCTAATTATATTCCATACGTAACAAACTAGGAAATATTGAGTAAATATAAAAAAATACCCCTACTTATTGTAAATAAATGGTATATAATCATTTCGTATAACGTCTCATTTAATTTACGTTCATTTTCAGGCTACAGTGATTGCATTACAAGCACTATCAGAATATTTAATATCATCCAAACGCCAAGACATAAATCTAACGTTAAGTATTTCAACGAGTCATGACAGAAGCATGGTGAGAACACTACAAATTAACAACGATAATGCCTTAATCCTTCAACAAATCGAGGTAAGGAAAAAGTTTTTCATTAATTTTAATAAAACGGATATATTTTTAAAAAGCTTAATAGTGTTCTTCTTAAACTGCGAATTCTATAATTCTCCACTTTTTTCTGGTCCTACTGATGGTATGATATTACAATTGATGGATAGGCCAATACAACAAATGTACAATCTCACAAGAGAAAATGCCACCTTACAAAACTTTTTTCGGTAATTGGCCCCTATTTCAGTATTATAAGTACAGGAAACTTCGAAAACTACGTATGGTCAGCCCGTTGACCGAAAATCATCAGTGTTCTGTAGTTTTACATTTCAGCCCCTATTAGGCCCTGATCATAGAGGAAATTTTGAGTCTGTGTGAAAAAACTGTATGCCAAAAAAAACCTTAATATATTACGAAGCTCCGAGTTTCAAAAACGCATTGTCTTTATTCTTGATATTCTACTATCACTGGAGAATTATTTAAATCTGTTTATTTCAGGTTTATAATATTAGTCCATCTTCTTTAATTTCATATCTTCGAGTATTTTCCTATATAATATGGGGCTGACCATTAATTACGTATACAGTTTTAGAATCAATTTTGAATTCTCCCTTTTCCATCCTGTACAGTAATGTGCTTTTAGTGTACTTTTTCCTTAAAATACAAAAACAGTCGTAAAAGAGGCATTAAGAACTGTTGATATTTTATACAATTTCATTTTATGGTAGAAATTCTATTACTTTTATTGTACAGATAAATAAATTAGGTGGATATCTGTATGTCAACGCGAGTGGAAAGGGTGTTGGATTCTTATCTATGAGAATGAAATATAATAGAGAAGATATGGACAGGCAACCCTGTAAAGTAAGTTTTTTAATAAACGCATTTAAATTGTATGTACGAGGAGAGTTTTGCTAAATATTGCTATTTACTCTTATTAGTTCCAGACTACGGTAGATGTTTCTGAAGTAAAAGAAAATTTATCAATGAACGCAACTATTGCTCATTACGAAAAAGAACATAAAACAGGTAATAAACAAAATATTATTACATTTACTGTAAGAATCTACATCACTTATCGTAGCCTATAATTATCTATTTATATATGCTTGTTTTTCTTACTCTTTTATGTCTTACCAATGATTATAATACAAAAATACTGTCAGAAGTATCCAGACTTGATTGTATCAGAAGAAATTTAAACCGAAAATTTACTCTTAAGATAAAAATTTGTACAACGTAAGTATAGAAAATTGTGAAATTTTATTTATATAACTGAGTAGTTATACATATATATATAATTATCAAATTTATATTTACTTATATGTGTTTGTACTGTATGTATATACACGCGAAAATACTTTTCTATGGCTTAGCTTTAAGTAGGCTATGTGTAAATTCATTATTTTTACAGTATATAGACAATAAATACACAGAGTAAACTTTGAAATAGAATAAATATGGCGCTTTAAAAGATGAAACACATTACACCAGATAGAAGAAAGTAAATAAAATATACCTGTAAACGTAGAGATTAATTCTGTTACAATTACAGTAATGGTATTACAATAGAAACATCATATGTTTCTATTGTAAAAATCCTGTTGCAGTCAAATACACTATTTATAAATAGTTACTGTCCTACAAAATAATGGATTGTGAAAAGAATTCTTTTAACACATCAGTAAATAATTAACGTAATGTTTCAAGTGATGCAACAAGTAGAAACAAATATTAAATTATGATTATTTTGCACATAAATATATCGGCTTTGCAGCTATTTAAATATTAATAACTGTGTAATAACTATAACTATATAAAACATTACACTTCTCGCAGATACTTTTTCGATATATACTCCAATATGACGATTATTGATGCAGCAATATTTAGTGGATTTAAACCAGTTAAAGAAGATTTAGAAAGAGTAAGTAAATTAGACTTTAATCAGTGAAATGATAAGTTATTTACTGGCTTTCTTTATATCATAATAAAACATAATTTCGAAACGTTAGTTTAATCCATGGCTGCTGCATATGTAAGGCAGTGTCATTGATTATTAAGTATATAGGTTGTAAGAAATTTCAAGCTGATAGCTTCTTGCAGCTTATGGTATAAGGACTGTTGTCCAATCTCATTGTTAATTCCTACATAACTCCCGTGGAATTTGTATGACTCCAGGCGCTATTGTTTCAAAAGTGGATTTCACTTGAAATTTAGAAAAAAAAACATGTGAAAATTTTAGTTTTCGTGAGTTTCGGTGCTTCATAAAATTCTTTACTAATTGCATGCAGTAAATTTTATGCAGCATAAAGACACGCGTGTAATTACACTACGTGTGTGACAGGTAATTAGCGAAATTTATATATCTATGAATGAATAATGAATTAAATTTTAGAATATACCGTTTCTTATATTTTCTGCTTTTCCTGACTATCTGGACATATTAAAAATTCATTTCAAACAAGCCATTACGTTTATTATAAAAAATCCAATTCTCACGCTTTGGAAAAAATTTAGGTTAAGAAACTAATTGTTCATGGCATTAAACTATGTAAATGATGTGCTATGTCCTTGATTATTGAATTAAATTTCTAATACAGTATATATATAAATCAGAATTTAAATACCATTTAGTACTGTAAAGTAAGTTAAAATATAAAACATTTAGTATCAAATTTTATATAGTAATAATGTATATTTTACATACCTTTAGGTAATAAATGATATAACAAATCCTGTTGATTTTTACGAAGTAGAAGACAGAAATATAATATTCTATTTAAGTTATGTATGTATACATATATGCAGTGATAAATAATTTTATTACTAAATTATATGTTGATACAATTATACCTTTTCATTATTATAATTCTATGTAAAAATATTAACATGAAAAATACAACTTTACAGTTTACACCTAAATCTACTGTTTGTTTTGAATTCCGCGTTGTAAGAGATTATATTATTGGGAACGTGCAGTCCGGTGTTGTCCAAGTATACGATTATTATAAATATGGTGGTTATGGTAAGTGTCTTCCTATTCTCATCCATTAACTGTTAATTTTTTTTTATTTCAGAAAATATTATAAGGTTTTTAAATGAGAAATGTTTTATTGAGTACGCATTTAATAAATAGGCAAATTAGATAAAAAGCATGTGCTGAAATTCCAAATTGTAATTCAACATAGCTAGTATTTCTGCAGTCTTAAGAGATCCAAACCAAAGGATTTTGATGTATTCAAAATCAAATTAAGTGTTTGCTCGATACTAAAAATTTTTTTAAAAAAATATGTTGTTTATCTCTTCCTCTTAGTGTTTTCGCTGCATAATTTATTCATTTCATCTCGTTCAATTCAATTCATTGTCATTTATATTTTCTAACGTTTTATTCAACCATTCTACTAGTAAACCAGTAGATAAAACCAGAGAGCACTGGGGTGACCATATTGGTCTTTAGCCCCTTTCTTCACGTATCTGACACTCTAAAAATATGGCCAGTTTCCCACATAATGCGTTTCTGTGAGGCAAACCTTCCTTACAGAAAAGTGTTGTGACGCTTTATTCTATCTGTCCAATCTATTGCTATTGGAATTTTTTGCATCTCTTCTTTTCTCCACTTTCTATAAGTTTTAATTTATTACGTTTAGTAATTTAAGTTTTGTATTCTAATTTATACTCTATGTCTTTTGCAGATACAAAGTGCACCGTATTCTTCAGTCCAGATACTTGCAAATAATGAAAATATCCCTGTTTTAATGATACATATTAGTAAATCAAGCTCTTCGTACCACTTAAAAAATATTTTACCAAGTTGTTTAATAATATCAATGTGTTCTGTAAACAATCAGAAAAATAAAATACATAAGAATTTCTTCATAGTTTTATGTGAATTTGTTAATGATTAATTTAAGTTTTAATGAAAGATGACTGAACAGTTTTTTCAAATACACCAAAAGAAGAAAATATCCTTTATTCAAAATCCCGAATATATCCTTCTCACAAAAATCAATTCTAATATTACGATAGTATTCAACCATATGTGAGTTTACAATACATATGTACAGACCAGTGGTCAATCAGTTAAAGCCACTGAACACTATTAATTGTTCGTGAGATCCCCACTTGGCTGGTCACGTGCAGTGTCCGAAATTTCTTCACGTTTCTAACACCTAAGTAGAGGACAGTATCCCACAAAAATCAACCTATTTGGCAGATCGCTCACATGTCACGTTGTTTGGTTTTATCCACTACAGTTTTGTTTATAACTTGCGTACCGCGATCCTCGCAAAATATTCTTATAAATATTTCTTATATTCAATAATAAATAACAGAAAACAACAGTTCAACATGTAGTTATCTCTGTAATCACCAGCTCAAGATATTATAGAGTCGATGTACTTGTCTATTATGATTGTACTCGTACATTATGAAGTGATTGTGATTGTACTTGTATATTATGAAGTGTTATTCACTTTTTATTCACCGGAGTGTTTAATTAATTAAATCTTACTATAATTATGATTTTCTAGTTTTTTTGAAGATATTAATCAACCGATACACGATAATAAATGGCGCTTTTGTCAAAATTTGGGACGAAAGTTAAGAATAAGATTAAACAAAGTTAAGAAAAAGCTTTTAGGCATCACTTGACATGGAATAAAAACTTATGAAATGTTCGATTCTCGATTCAGTAGGGGTTCTTATAATTTTGATACCCCTTCTGTATAGTGTACGATTTCCCCGAGTGGAGTTGCAAAGACGACAGACATGACTCAGATGTTATCAGAAAAACTATATTGTACAGGGGCAAGAAACTGCTAATTTGAAATGAAGAACATAATTTAAATTAAATGGATTAATTAAGAATATCACTAAAAACTGCAGCCCGGCAATGTGACGACTTTACAATAAATAATTTATTGTTTATTATATAATATAACGTAAACAATTATAAAAATAAATTTAATACTTACAAAAATTATAATTTTTATAATTGAATATAAAGAAATTGTGTACAGACCTGAAATCAACTAACTTGTATAATGATGCAAAGCAGAAATAAAAACGACATAAAGTGAGAAAAACAGATGAAGTACTCGATATTATATGTTACAGCTCATTAACAAATGAAAATTTATGAGTACTTTCAATTAATGTTCTTAATTGGATATCTGATGCTTGTCATTTGCAATTAAAATAATAACGAAGTTCATTAGTAGTTGCATGATAATAACAAATTTTTTCGTGTGTTTGAGAAACCTTTCTTAGTCACGTGAATTAAAGACAGACCATTACTCATGTCTTTCTGAGGTGGTAGAGTGTTTTGCTAAAATTTCAAATTATTTGTATCTGAAATCATAAACTATTACTCATTACTATAATCTGTTATCTAACAAATACTTGTGGATTGTAGATAATGCATTTTTACCTTGATTTTAAGGTAATTTAATCCGGAAACGAAAAAATAACTATATCAAATTTTAATACCCTATAAATTCTTTGTAGTTACACCAATTCACATTTATGTGTTGGAAATTTAAAAGAAACACGCTATGTTTGAAGGTGAGGGTAGGGATAGTTATTTACTGTTACCCCAGTGACAGTCCAGACCAGGCGCCATTCTCTCAGTAAATGTCAATAAAATACTAATTTTTTATGACTAACTAATCAAAAGCTCTAGTCTCCATTGGAACTAGGTCAAATAAAAACGTAATTGCTATGGTTTCAATTTGTGAAGTTTTATAACTTTAAAAAATTTAAATAATATTGCTAAACAATAGCATGCATCAAGTTAATTGAATTATTACGATAAATAACACATGGAAAATTTATTTGATACAAACAAAATTTGGAGTATTAGATCTTTTTTACATATGTTTGTAGCAATGATGTTATAGCATAAAAACTTTGTTGTAAAAAAAACACATTGCCTACTTATAAGGAACTGAAATGGGCCCAGACATTCATTGTACTGTACGTTGTTAGTGTGATGTACTATTTAGATGTGATGCTCGGTATTACAGCATCATTAAAATTCGTTTCCATTTACAGCACAAAATTCATTACACCGTGTTTGTGTAGTGTCAGCATTATTTTCTGTTAAAATATACCTATAAAATTGAAAATGTATGAATATCCTTTGAAGTACTTGAAACGTTAATAAGATATATAGTTTTGAAATACAGGTTATAGCGTCTCGGAAACACCATTAACATTTCTGAAATTGTAATGAAAATCGTTATCGGATCAAAACCCATGAATACACGTTATATTTTTGCTTTAAGCCACTCTCAACCATTGTAAAATGCATATTAATTGAGAAAAGTGAATGATTTAGGTCTATTTTTTGTAATTTGATTTAAAAGTAAAAACAATCATCATATTAAATTTCAAATAGTTATAGATTACCCCCAACTTATACCAATTTACATCTGCCTTGTGTGACAGTCGAGATTATGATGTTGACTTTCATGGTATGAACTCTAGAACTTTTCGTTGTCTTTTCCCGAAAATTATAAAACTGTCCACGCCCCTCTTTGTCAAAGTAAATAAACTGCTAATTATTTTCTTTCTTTGTTAAAACAAAAACTATCTTTCTCACGTAGAAGGTTGTCAAATAACAATGTAACTTTATCTTTATTATTTGACAACTATTGTTACCAGGAATAAATTTTATAATTTTGTAATTATTTTTTTACGAAATTATTCATACCTATTGTATATACCTAGTTTCTGAATCAAGCATTAAGTCAACGCATGCTTTCGTAGAGTGAAATTGATACGACTTCCTATTTACATTTGAATTTAGGTCCCTGGAACTAACTGGATGAGCGAACTTAGGAATGATTCATGGGCACTAATTCACTCTCCATTACACATTACAGTAGAGTCTCGAAAACTCGGTACTCGATAACCCGGCAGTCCGGATAACTCGGCCACACCCTGGCAGGGCAAAAAAATCCTTAGTTAATTAATTTTCATTATAGACAGCTTTATGCCTCATAAAGTATTTTTCTGAGGTCTGTCTTATCAGGTAAATTACTGTACACAGTGTATTTATTAATTTTCATTTTCATGTAGTAAAGACTCTATGCCTTCATAAAGGACGTAAGGTGTATTTCAAATTTATACGGACACGAAAAAATTAAAGTGAAACACAAATTTGCTGCATTAAGTGACAAATGTTTTATTAAAAATAATATGGATTTACATGTTTCTACACTGCAAAATAAGAATTTTAATTAAACATTAATATTTTGTCACTGAAAATAATATTTTTGAAAATCTTATACAAAAAAACTGTTACATATTTATCCGGACAGGTTTCAAATTGCAAAGTTTTCTTACATGTAACCACCATTTAACTTAATTACATTAAATACTCGATTAGGCATTGTTTCAATTAGATTCTGAAGGAATTCAATCTTAAGTTTATCCCAAGCATCTGAAATTGCTGCCTTCAAATCATGAATTGTGGAAAACTGCTTTCCATTGGCATAAACTGTACGAACCATAATCCCCCAAAGATTTTCCATCGGATTCAGGTCAGGGTTTCTAGCAGGCCATGTCATCAGATTAATATTTTTACGTTTAAACCACATTTTTGTTGATTTAGAGGCATGCACAGGAGCATTGTCTTGTTAAAAGATCCAATTTGGTCCACAAATATTTGGTCCAGCTTCCAATAAATGAACTTCAAACATGCCTTGATACTTCTTTGAATTCATTCTTTGAGTTATGAATGCTAAATCTGTAGTTCCGTTAAATCCAAACGCACCCCACACCATTATTGATCCCCCACCCATTTGGCGTTTTGAAAATATTTGTTTTTCGGTTCTTAAATCGTGCCAATAATACTTCCAACCGTCTGGACCATCTAAGTTGAATTTTTTTTCATCACTGAACAAAACTTCAATCCATTCTTCGGATCATGTCATGTGTTTTTGTGCCCAATCAAGTCTGTCACTTTTGTGCTTTAATGAAAGTGGTGGCATTACAGCTTTTTTTCTGAATTTTAACATTGGAGATTTATTTAAAACTCTCCACACTGTTCTGCTGCTACAAGGCAAGTCTAATTCTTGTTCTATTTTTCTTACTAATGTTTGTTTTGTGGAGCAAACCTTGATGATTTGTCTACAATCTCGAGGAGTAAGCTTAAGTTTTGGATCTGTCTTGAATTTTGGTACATCTTTGCCACGTCTTTTTGATAAATAATAACCAACAGTTGATTTTGGACGATTTATATATGCTGCAATTTCTCCTATTGACTTGCCTTGTGATTTATAGGCATCAATCTTCCCTTTTTCTTAATCAGATAAATTCTTTGTTCTGCCCATTTTAGAACGTTGAACAATGTAAAGAATTTGTATTACAATTAGATATGTAAGCTAATTTCCATATTTCAATGCTTAAAAACTAAACAATATTCTGTTTAAGTCATAAAATGAGTGCCTGTCCGGATAAATATGTAACAGTTTTTTTGTATAAGATTTTCAAAAATATTATTTTCAGTGACAAAATATTAATGTTTGATTAAAATTCTTATTTTGCAGTGTAGAAACATGTAAATCTATATTATTTTTAATAAAACATTTGTCACTTAATGCAGCAAATTTGTGTTTCACTTTAATTTTTTCGTGTCCGTATAAATTTGAAACACACCTTACAGTGAGAGATCGGTTAACAAACATAATCCGTTCCAAGACTTTGTTTGCTATTCGAATTGTTTGTTAACTNGTGTGATAAGCCCTTACTATTATCTGCTTCACGTTTGTAAATATTATATTTAATTTAATTATACCGAAGGCTAAAAGCAATTTTTAATAATAATTTCTAATATTTTGTTTAAATATCTATATTAATCATAGCTATTTCTGCTAATTTTGGCCCCATCTTTGACCCCATACTGATACCATCAGTCTGTCTATAAAACTTATCATTAACCTCTAAATAATTATTCCTATATGCAAAATACACCAAATCAATTAAAGTTTTTTCTACATTCAATTCTATTAAACTCTATAAGTTTAATTATCGGAAATTTATATTCTAAATATTCGGAAATTTAGAATATTTAAATATTTAATATTACAATTTCACATATGAAATGCGACATTTTATGAATTATTTACTTTTTAGAACATTTAAACCAGTACTTGATAGATCAGTTAATTTTCTGATGTCGTTTGACTTCTTGTTTTATTTAACATCAAAAGGAAAAGAGTTTAAATCAAACAAAGAAATTATAAGGAAGTTTACAAAAGAGGTTCGTAAAACCTTCTTGTTNATATTATTTTTAATAAAACATTTGTCACTTAATGCAGCAAATTTGTGTTTCACTTTAATTTTTTCGTGTCCGTATAAATTTGAAACACACCTTACTTTTCCTTTGTTTAAGGGTATTTGAACAGTTTATTCTCTGTTGTATTCTGAAATAGACAATACATACAAGTACAGTACAGTATTTTCTGAGGAAACACCCATACTTATTTTTTTAACCCCATTCCCGATAACCCGGCATTTTCACAAACTCGCCCACCCTTCAGTCCACATTAGGCCGAGTTTTCGAGACTCTACTGTATTATGTTTTGCCATTGTGAGCCCAAAAAACTTACGAAAAGTATAGAGTAAAAGCAGTAAGAGCATCCATAAATTAAAATGAGTTAAATCTTACGTAACAGGTGTTTGTAGTTTTGATTGTTTTGAGTTTACCTTTCCTACATCGCGTGATTTTTCGAACATACTTTCGGTTACAAAAATATTCTCGATGTTTAATGAAAAAATGCATTTGCGACAATACCTAAATGAAATTGTTGTGCAAGAAAAAAAAATTGTACAATTAGCGAAATTTGTAATAGTGTAATTAATTTTGAAAATTTTTGTTGCTGTTATTTTTCGCCTGTAACAATGCGATTTCTCGCGGAGAGACTTCGATGAATGCAAATAATAAATTGCGATTTGGCGCTACAAAATCGAACTAAAATCGATCTTTTTATTGAAATAATAATAAAAAAAACAGAAAAAACAATTGATCGCGAAAAAAATGAGCGCGGTGGTCGCAATCGCCGATAGCGATTATCGCGATCATGTTTTTTCTTCAGAGTTTTTCGTACCCAAAAGCTCGCGCGGGGTTTGTGAGAAGCCGGCACTTTTTAAACTGTTTTTTGCGAGTAAACTCGGCGCGCAATAAAAATGTCAGAAGCACACATGAGATTTAACGTCTTTTCCTTACATGTCTTATACTGAAGTAAGACCGAGAGCCTTAATTTTATCAATACAGCAATAACTAAAATTGTGCTTAATAAATATAATCCTCAGAATAACAAGCCAATTTATTACTTCATATACATGAATTATCATAGATATTAACATTTTTGGCAAATTCTTTGTTTTTCTTGGTTCCATTTTAAATATTGATTTTATGTGAATATCTCAATAAGCTATTCTATAAAATTATAACAATATGTGCAAAAATAAAAAATTACAAAACACATGTGTAGCAACTTGATCCATAACTTTAACAATGCATAGCAGCCTTTGTTTGAAGCTAAAAACTTTACAAGTTCGGAACTTAGCATAAAATTAATCGATATTAATAAAATAACCATCAGAATTCTTAGAATAAGACCACCAAAAAGTCAAAGAGAAAAAGAAAACGAGGAGTTAACAAAAGTGTCACCTCTCCAAACGACATCAACTGGCGATCTACATATTTTATAGTTAATATAGTTTATTACACATAGTTCTGTACTAAAAGTAATAGCTATCTGTAATCCAAAAAATTTCGTTACACAAAATAAGAATTGTATTGATAATTTTTAATGTTTGTATAGTCTTTCTGAATCAGATACTTAAAATGAATCCAGAAATATTACTCATTAGAATACGACAAAGGCATATGTAGGATGTGGTTGTATAATAATTTATTAATAATATAACGATGCATAATGATGTATATTAATTTCTGATATTATTACACTTCTTGCAATTGAATAGATTGCATACGTTTCAATGCAATAGTAATTCTTCACATTGTTTACGCAGAATTTCGGTTTATTTGCAATTTTATTAAAATCGAATTTGATTTTAAAACTTCGAATACACATTAAGTTAGAAAATTCTGAAAATTTGTTTTCGAAGAAAGTAAATTTTCAGCTGCATGGACCTACTTCTCTGTTAAATTTTATATGTATCGAAATTAATTTTAATCGTGGTCTCACTTTAGTAAATTTACGTACTTTGCGTGTTTTAAGATAATAATTTAGTCTATCCGAATGAAAACAATTCACAAAGATAACGAGTTTCCTTACAAGTCAATGCCAACCATTGACTCGTAAGGAAACTTGTTGTCTTTGCTAGAATAGACTAGGAAAATGTACAATAATTAAAATCTGTCAAATTTATGCCTCGTATTTCTTTATATACATAAAAAATAACTTTTATTTTTATATATATTTAATATATAACAAATTAAGTCTACATATGTAAAAAAATTACTATCAAAAATTGCTTTTAGACTTTGGTATAATCAAATTAAATATAATATTTACAAACGTGAGGCAGATAATAGTAAGGGCTTATCATACCACTCCTAATAAGCACAAATATTTCGGAAACAAAGTAGAACATTTAGTAAAACAAAAGAGATGATGTACAGTAAAATTTGCCTACAAAAGTATGAAAACAAAATCCATAATGCATTTCGGATTATTAGAAAATCCCTCTTTAGTTAATAATTAATTTAAAGAAGTTAAAAATGAAATACGTTTGTGATGTTATGACTTTACCTCGTTAAAACTGTTGTATAATTGTAATTGTAAGGTATGTTAGTCTGACCAATGTGCACCAGATGTTGCTTTACTACTACTAACCGTACTGTTCCAAGTTGTAATGCTACTTTAACTTGGTGCTCTTACTGTTTTAATATGTATACATAATTTGTCTGTATATCATTATTTCAAAACTGTTAAATTATTATTGCGCTAACTTTAACTATTTGCATCATTACCCTGCACGTCACGCCATTTTGCAACGTTATGAAGAATTTTTACACCTGTCTCGTGTTTACTGCTCATATTGTTATAGCGATGTGTTTAACTTAATCTTGTATAGTTTTAATTATATTAATCACTTCCAATTTATTATTAATTAACTGGAGAGAAACTATTTATACCTTCTAATATCATTTGGTTTTTGTTTTCATATTTTCTTGGCCATATTTTATTGTACACCCCCTCTTTTTTTATTAAATGTTCAACTTTGATTCCTAAGTGTTTGTGCTTATTACGAGTGGTGTGATAAGCCCTTACTATTATCTGCTTCACGTTTGTAAATATTATATTTAATTTAATTATACCGAAGGCTAAAAGCAATTTTTAATAATAATTTCGTTACGTGTGTAGAATTAAATTGTTAAATATTAAATATATATAAAATTAAAAGTTATTTTTTATGTATATAAGAGACATAAATTACACAGATTTTAATTATTGTACATTTTCCTAGTCTATTCTAGTAAAAATAACAAGTTTCCTTACAAGTTACTGCCAACGTCAATTATTTGCGTTTTAAAATTAAATTCGATTTAAATAAAATTGCAAATATACCAAAATTCTGCGTGAAAAATATGAAGAATTACTATTGCATTGAAACGTATGCAATCTATTCAATTGCAAAAAGTGTATAATAATATCAGAAATTAATATACAATTAATATTATCAATAAATTATTAATATTATACAACAACATTTTGTATGTGTGCTTGTTGTATTCTATTTTATAATACTTCTAAATTCATTTCGAGTATTTGACTAAAAAAAAAGAAACTGCACAAACATTACAAAGTATGGCAATTAGTAATTTCTTAAGTAATTGCCATGCCTTCTTACTATTACTTATAACACCACTGAAAGACAAAAGGTTACCTCGGAAACATAAGTAACAAATGCACACGTTTACAGTTTCGATTAAAAATGATTGAAAACTTAGTTTTTAGAATAATATTTTGAAATCTCAAGGCCTTTTTTTTCTTGTTAATACTAAGTATATTCCTTCTCATTTTACATGAAAAATTACCTCACGTAACTTGAAATCACGCAATCACTATAGAAAAATTAAATGTACCTACATGCAATGTATTTTTTGAATGTGTGAAGTTAAAACACGTGCAAAAATTAGACAAGTGTTTATTTTGTTAAATAGTTGATGATGCCGTTAAAGTTAAAAAATGGTAAATATGAATCACTCGTATAATTTTCTTAAATGAGGACTCATGACAACTCTTATCTCCCTTATACTTGATCTTTGTACCAAAATTATATAGCATAGACGGCCACATATATAAACTGATAATATTTCTTACTTGATCATGTGATACATAAGGATAAATTCGAATTTATAAGTATTATAAACAAACAAAACAAAACAATAAGGAAAAAGTACATCAACCAGTATATGTAATTTCATGCATACAATTAATATAATAAATATAAAATATATAAAGAAAGAACTGTGTTCGGCTGTTATCATTAAAGCAGTTTCCCAGTCATATTTCCTGGTAACATATTTAAACTATAAATTCGAGTAAAGTTAATTTCTATAGTAGATGGAGAACGTTAGAATAAGTATGGAAGCTCTTACCGAAATTCTTGCTAGTAATTGCGGATGGAAGATACTCGCTATTATTTTAATTATATATATCCTGTATAAATTGTTGGTTAAAAGAAAGCAAATTCTTATTGGTTTTAAAAATACCGAATTTTATTATTTTCTTCTAGGGTGGAAATTCGCATTTCAAATTCTCATACCCAGGATTGGTGAGTACTTTTCTCTTATCTCTATTCTCGTACTATCGGTCGTGTCTAAAGATTTTTCTCGCGTGTAAAAGACTATTTACGAAACATTTGCACAATATAGTTGTAAAAAATGCTATTGCAATTCGAGAAATGGTTACACGTTTGATATTATACAACTGTTAACAAATTGTATTTTGAATTACTGCAACTGTGCTTACATTGGATATTCATATTCGGCTCAACTACGACTAATTTTGATCACTTGCCAGCGGCACACGATAGCGTGTAAATAAGCATTTAGCGTAAACCCAGCTACTTTATTGTAATAGCAATACATTCAGCTAAATGTATTGCTATTACATCGTAAGTGTTTAAACGTATAGCCGTTTTTGACAAAATTAATCGCGTTTAATAAGAGCAAACATGCTTATAACGAGGAGCAGTGCCGTCTTTTTAAAGGCGTCACACACACGTACGAAATAAAGAAAAAGGAAATAGTTCGTCTCTGTCGTTTCCATTGAATCTCGCAGAGAGTTGCAGAGTTGGAGTTCCAATTTTTTCTGTTGGATCTCGGAAAAAAGCATAGTTTAAGCTCCCTCTGCACAAAAATTTTTGTGAGAAAATTCATTCTTCTTTTCGTTTTCCTTCGAAAATCCAGATCAGGAATTTTTCGATACAGGTCCTATGGTACGACAGTCTCCTTCTCAACCTCCTCGTGTCTTTGAGAATTCAGACTTTTGCACCATCTTCGCGTAAAATTCCGATTTTCGGTTTGTCCGAAACGGCGGTCTTTCTTAACTGTATTAGTCCCTGATCTGTTGCCAAAGACGCGATGTTGGGAAAAAGAAATCTATTGTTACTAGGACATAAATCTTTATTAAACTGATTAAAACATACAGAACCAAATTTTAGTTTTAGAATATTTACTTTATCTTCATAATAAAAACAGCGCATAAAGAGAAAATTGAATAATAATAATATGAAACGTATAAAATTTTTTATTTACATTAAATCTAGCAACAATTCTTATATCATAAATGGATTGTTGCTGGTCTGCCTAGTAACCTATTTCGATATAGTTTTTGTATTAGAATAGTACACAAATAAAAGGTTTTTATATAAAATTTTTTTCCAGGTTTGTCATTACAGTTTTCGGAAATGTTAAATCAAACATACGAAAAAGGATATTTTCCTTTTAATTTTCTAATTGTGAAATACCTGTTCTTGTATCATCCGGATTATATTCAAGTAAGTTTTTAGAAAAATATTTAGAATCGGCAAATAATTACATTAAACGATAACAAGAGGCACAACTTTATAGCAATTGTTTTGTGACAGTTATGAAAAATAAATGTCAAACGGCGTATAAATGTATTTGCAGTGTGAAAATGTTAAATACGCATTGTCAGTTCTGTTAGAGTAATATACCCATTAATGTTTTATTTGTAATTGGTAACGAATGATATTAATTGATAAAAACGAATTAAAGTATATAATCATAATAATAAATACTTTTTTGGCTGCTAATAACAATTTGGCCAATGAAATATTTAGTGTTGTTCAAAAGTTAAAATTACTCAGTACGTGTTTTAGAATACGTTTTAGTCGCCAGGTGACGTGCTATTTGCTGTCCCCGCAAAAATAGGATCAAAGACCGAACAGGCATAGATTCTCGTGTAGTATCCGAGTTTAAATCATTTGCTGTGGTACAAAAGAACCTACGCCGTGTTTACCACAAAAAGCAAAACAGATGCCTGGAGGAAAAAAGCATGATTCAAGATGTTTCCAGGGAATAAAAAGAGCACGATGCGACTTTTTTCTAAAACCGGCAGAGATCCGAACTTTCTGCCAAATATTTTTTAGTTTATGCAACTTTTCGAGTTTTTAATGTCGTGAACATACGAATCTTTACGAAAAATAATGAAATATAGTTTTACATTTTAGCTAAATATCATTTCCATGCTCGATTAAATATTTTCATTTCCATGATTTATTTTTTTTTATTTAACACATTGAAGATAACATTATATTCAAGGATTATAAGACATTATGAGTCCATAAATGAGAGCAGCCATCCTCATAAAGCGAAAAAAGACTTTCCGAGGTCGCTGTAAGTTGTACTCTGAAACCGAACGTTCGCTTCACACGCAGCGCAACGCAACAATCTTCTTAGCAACAATTTCACTTTAAGCTTTCTGCAGCCGCTACAGCACTGCTGAATTTAGCAAAGAAACTTATACAACATAACAACCACACATGATCTTTATGCGCAGTTTCCAAAAACCTTAAATGCGAAATTTTATAATTAATATTTTTTTTATTAACATATTTATAAACGATTCTATTAATATTATTATTTACAATTCACATCTATTTATTCATTTTTAGACAGTGCTAAATGATTCTCAATGCATTAACAAATCGAAATTGTATAAAGGATTTAAAGATTGGATTGGAGATACTATTTTCATGAGGTAATCATTTGTAAACATATACTTTGAATTTTTTCAAGTAATTTTTTTTTATTTCACAATATATTTGTAATTCTTTCATAATAAATTTTAAAACCCCCTAAACATTTTCGAATTTATTTAAAAAGTCATAGCTATTTAATTTTCTTTTTCATTTTTGAAGAGAGAAATATGTAACGACTTGCTTTCCTTTTAAATTCTTTAAAATTATTGGGCTACTATGCAAGTAATTGCTCAGGCACGCTTAATATTTTTTAGGATGTAAAGAATATTTTTGCCGAATTTCGTACAGTCAGGTATAAATGTGTTCAACACTTTATCTAACATAATAGGAGGGTAATTAGGGTAAAAATAACGACCTAAAAATTTCCGGACCTACAGTTATTAATGAATATATAAAAGATATAATAAACAGCCGAAAATTAACGAATGCTTTCTTCTTTAATACATTAAGAATTTAAGGCCTGATAGTCGAGCAATCAAAGCGATACTCTAGGAATCTTTCGAGGTAGTCTGTCCGGATACATCTGGCCGTGTGTCTCTCATTATCCAGCCTTCATTGCTCTTAAATTCGACATTAAACATTTTACTTTATTAATTAAAACTTTTTCTTAATTTATATTTATGTAATTTGCCATTAATTCACTTTAACTTCATATACAAAATCGCAATTAGAATAAAGATCCCGTGTAAGCAATCCAGAAAAAAATGTATAATATCCAGAAATATTTTTCAGAAGTGACAAAGCTCATACAGAGAGGAAGAAATTATTGTTGCCCGCCTTTCGCCTGAAAGTATTGCATTCATTTATTCCAATAATCGAGAAGAATGCCAGAAAATTAGTTGAGGTTTTGATGGAAAAGGAGAAAGTTTTCATAATACCTGTCGTTAAGCAGTGCGGATTTAATATTTTGTATGGTATGCAAGATACATTTTACTTTCTATCTGATTGATTTATACAGTATTTTATAAAATTTAGGATGGATTGCTTATATAAATTATTTACACTAATATTTATAAAAGCTGTCAATTTTTTAAGGAAATAAATATAAATTACATTATGAATTTTAGAATTTATTGAATAATAGTTTAATGTCTGTTTTATTGTTTTTGTTATTAAAATATAAAATTTATTTTAGATACAGTTCTTGGCGTTAAAGATGGTTCTACTGTTAGAGAGAGAAGTTCTTATTATGAAAAGTTAATAAACGCGTAAGTATTTAATTCCAGATGTTATCTGATCTGTACAACGATTTTAAATCCGAGAAAAAAACACAAATATTTGGAATGGGCTATTTTTGGTTTATTGATTTTTTATTTTTAGTTTTATAAAACAGATTTTATTGCATAAAGTATGCTCGAATTTCTGCTACTTAATTTCTACTTTTTGCAACATAATTATAATAATCAATTTTATTCTGAAATATGAAAAAATACTAAGAAATCGTCTATGAAAAATCATATGGCCTGAAAATAATAATGCAATCAATTGATTAAATTGAGTGCTAACTTTTATTTATATGAACTTAGCAGGAGGTTTCTTTTTCTTCTCTCAACGTTCGGCAGATGAACTATACGCTGTCATTAATATAGACGTGCATAAAGAAGATCTCAATGGTATGAATACTTTCATCTGCTTATTCAGTAAAGCTAATGAGACAGACATTCAAGATGTTCGCGTTCTCCTGTTTCATGTAATCGCTTTTCATGACTGTTAAATGCGCTTATAATTATTTTGGTCAGTTTCTAAGCATGCATCTTTCACATTTCTTGTGCATTTCTAAGGAACGGACGAGACCCAGTCAATTTGAATGTATTATTAAACAGATTGGAATACACTGCTTCTTGTGAAACTTTTTCCTCTGCAAGTAGAATACTCGATTTGATATAAGAACACAAAATACAAATCTAAATAGAATCTTAAACACTATTCATGTATATAATTCGTCTCTGTAATCCAAAAAATTTTTGGTAGACGGACTCACAGCAAAACTTTTAGTTAGAAACTCACTTTTATTCTTTAAAAAATGACATATGCATTTCAGGTTGGTACATACATCCAACCCCTCCTTACTGCTAATTTTTCAAAAAACAATAAAAAGCTATAATAATCAGTACATGACACCAAATACATTACAAAATATTTCTACATACTTACTCTTAAAAACAAATTTGTGTATGGGCTACCAACACACCTAAACACCAACAATTGTTTTTCATCAATATACCTTAAACTTATCGTGCAATTTTAAAGAGCACTTGAAGTGTTTGCATTACATCACTTCTGAAAACAAAATTACACTATGACAATTTTGTAGACTTAATAAAAGGCATTAAAAAAACAATACATTACATGCCTTTAAAATATAAATAGTATACGAACAATCCAACACCTAGCAATACATTAGAATCCTTCTTTTAATCAATCGCAATAACTTCATCATTTATTACTATGTAACGCCCTCTATCATTTTGTACCAGCGAAAATCTATTTCCATACCATCAGAGAAATTTATTAAATTATTTTGGTTTTTATTAATTTTCAAGTGTTCTTTAAATTTACGTTTATATATGTACTTTTCATGATGTAAAATTTTAATATTATTGCCATTAATTTTACAATTATTGTTTTTTGTGTGTTCGTACCATGGCGAATTTTTATATCTCAACCTAATAGCCGCTTCATGTTCTGTTATTCTTACATCTAATACACGTCCAGTTTCTCCTATATAACTACATGGATTCATACAGTTACATTCTAATTTATATACAACTCCTGTCTTTTTTAAAAGATCTATATTATCATGGTTACTTCTATTAAAATATTTAGAAACGTTATTTGTAATCTTATTTGTCAAAGATGCGGCCAAACATATCATATCATTGTTAAGAATGTCACTGAAATTTTCAAATATACCTTTTATGTATGAAAATATTTTATACATTCTTTCATATTTATATTTTGTATTATATCTATTTTTTAAAAAGGATGTTATCCACTTATTAATTTTGAATTTTGGGTAATAAACTAAGTATCTAATTTTTCTAATTTAAGTTTAATATTAAGTTCTTCTGTTATACGTGTATATATATATTTAAATTCCATGAGGTATGAATTCTTTTTTATATAATCTGGTATATAGGAATTGTAATTAGTAGTTTTTTTAACATCACATAATTTTTTATATGTTAAAAATTCAAATTTTTCAGTGTTATTTCTAATAGTGATATCAAGGTAATTTATTTTTTTGTTTTCTTCAAGTTCAACGTCAAATTGTATTTTTTTATTTATACTATTTATAAATGAATGGATAATATTTTTATTAGTTAAACTACTATTATATATTATTAAATAATCATCTACGTATCTCATTATTAATTTTATACCTTTAATGTTGTTTATTTTCTTGTTTATATTAATCATTGTTAGTTCTGCTAATTTTGGCTCCATCTTTGACCCCATACTGATACCATCAGTCTGTCTATAAAACTTATCATTAACCTCTAAATAATTATTCCTATATGCAAAATACACCAAATCAATTAAAGTTTTTTCTACATTCAATTCTATTAAACTCTATAAGTTTAATTATCGGAAATTTATATTCTAAATATTCGGAAATTTAGAATATTTAAATATTTAATATTACAATTTCACATATGAAATGCGACATTTTATGAATTATTTACTTTTTAGAACATTTAAACCAGTACTTGATAGATCAGTTAATTTTCTGATGTCGTTTGACTTCTTGTTTTATTTAACATCAAAAGGAAAAGAGTTTAAATCAAACAAAGAAATTATAAGGAAGTTTACAAAAGAGGTTCGTAAAACCTTCTTGTTTTCCAACAATAATTACACAAAAATATTTTTTTAAACTTGAATTCTGTTTTTAGATAATTGCTGAAAAAATCCGTCTACGTAAAGATGAAGAAAACATAATGGAAATTAATGAAAATCCAAAATCTCTATTGGACTTTATCTTAGATGCCAGAGATAAAAATCCAGAACTGACCATTGATAGCATCTGTCAAGAAATCGAATTTTTTCTCGGCGCTGTAAGTGAAACATATATTTTTTATTTAACATTTTGGTACGATATTTATTTCTAAGTTATTAAATATTCTGCCCTTATTTATGATTATTATATAGTATTATGAAATATAGCGTCAAAAGTCAGGATTTCGTATCTGTCAACACTATCAATGCAGCGCCATATTAAAAGTTTTAGAATTTTACAATTACAGCATTTTAACGCATGTGTATGGGACTTTTTATTGTTGAAATTATGCAAAGAATTGCCTTTTCGAATTCTTCTCTCATATACAAAATAATATCATACACGTACAATGTGAACAAATAAAAATAACATACTTTTTGTAACTACTTGACTGTTTTCTCGTTCGAAATTGTTGCCTAGTAATCATTGGCACCATCGATGAACCCTTTCCCTTACTTTTTCTCTTACACTCTTTTTCGCCGGCTAAACCCTGTGTACAGCTGATGTTTATAATATATGTATGTTTATATGTAGTTATTGGCACGATTAATGAAAAATTTTTTTATCTGTAAAAATTAATCTGTATTATATGTAAACATTTAAAACATACATTGATAATGTTTTTTTCTAATATTAGGCATACGAAACAACTGCACTAACCGTCACCTGGTCGTTATACTTAATAAGTCAACACGAAGACATTCAAAGAAAAGTTCAGNCAATTACTATGGTTATTGAAATATTGGATGTAAATGGGGTTTGCTTGCAAAACCTCCGCTGACGAAGTCGCGGGTAACAGCTAGTATATAATAAATTCATAAGTCTACATTTTTATTAAATGGACACATTTTGCGTATGTCCATTATTAAAGATTTGTGTGTAATTCGTTCGCAATACCGTATTTTCTATACAATGTCTCATACTCTCATGGGAATAAACTATAATGATGCAAAAAATTTAGTTATTTTATTATAGCCTATGGAATAATTTCACATTATGTATATTCAAATTACTTAGATAAATTACTTAAAATGTATTAGACTATTAATTACAACAAAAAGATAAAAACCTTAATTTTATAAGTAGTAATAAGTTTTATAAAAATTGTAAATGTTTATTTAGAATAAACTCTTGTTTATTTCTGACCATAGTCAACATATGACACACACACCACCCCGTTTTATGGATGCATCCTATTGATATTTAACCGCAAAATTTAAAACCATCAATGCACCATTTACAGTAGCTACAATGCTAACTTCCATCTCTTAATTATTAGCTTATTCAGAAATATTAAAAAATATGAATGCTGAAACATACACTAACATCGACCGAATTTATTTCATGTTCATTTATGTATCTGTTGTTTACATTATTGAGTTGGTGGAAATGTGCAAAAAATTTCTAAGGTAAAACATGACACAATCTCAACGCTTTTAATTGTTTTGAGTATAGTCGAAAGAGTAGAAATATGCTGAAAAAGTTTCAAAATATTTACTTTTTATTACTAATTAGAGATTTCTTGTATTTTCGTTTCTGTTTTAGCACATCTTCCAATCATCCAGTTTATTATATAAAAAACTATTGAGCTGCAATTCGGAAAACATTTCAGACGTAAAAATTCTCACTGTCATGTGTTTATTTTTCTATTTCATTTTCCAGAAGGTATTTAGATACATAACAAAGGTAACAACAACTGGAAACTTTAGTGGCAGGAGATCCCAATTAACTTTATACAAACGACTCACGCAAATGTGAAGTGATGTTACTTCAATTTAAAATTTTTCCTCAAGGGTTTTTTCTTTCTATACTCTTTCGCCCTGTGAACACTAAGAGAGCCTCTTATAGCTGGCCCATTATGGTTTGGCTTGGCCCACAATGGGGCGACCGGGTGGTGACAGACCGGGGCCCGACATATTTGAACAAACCACTCTCTGTAAAATTCCTGGAGATTCTTTGACCTGTTTGGATTCGATCCCGGGTCCTCCCAGAGCGGTAGGCTGCCATATTAACTGCTCGTCATCCAGATGTCAAGTCCCTGAAGGGTGTTTCATGACCAGGACCAATCTATTGTTAAAAAAATGGGGGGGGGTACTGTACAGGAGTAACCTTGTGCTAATTTGAGATGCATGGCACATATTTCAAGTTTAATAAATTAAAAATATGTTTAAAAATTGCAGTCAGGTTTTGTGACATCACAATAAATAATTGCTATATAATTATACTAATTTAACTCCGATAAGTAATGTATTTATTGATATTTTGTTCATAGATAAAAATAATAAATAACTTTATTTATATTATTTTGTTGTAGGAAACTCTGAGGCTTTATCCACCCGCTCCAGTGATTTCAAGAAAAACAAAAAACTCTTTAAGATTTGGTAATGAAAATAATTCTTGATTATATATGCATTGCATTTATTTAAATTATTTTTTATACTGAAACACATTTCACGAAAGACATATGAAATCACGAACAAATGACTTACAAACACGGTCACACAGACGAAATAAAATTACAGTCTTCTACTAATAACTGTTAGTAATTAAGTAAATTATAAAACACGACCAACATAAAACACCTGCTACATTGCACGAATTTAAACTCTGCTGCTTACTACTAATAAAAAATGCAAATGGCTGTCTTTTTCATTTTATATCTGTTTTTGTGTCTGTGTTATTGTGTAGATTTGTGTCTGTGTTTTGTTTTTCTTAAAGTTTGTTTGTTTTGTTTGAAGATTTTTTACATGTATTAATGTCTTTTTCTCTGTACTCCATAGATTTAAAATAAAGTTTTTAAATTGGAAACGTACAGATATAGGAAAGTAATAATACATATAAATGTACATATATTACTTTTTTGAGAGCAAGACACTCGTTACGGGCGACATCGAAATGTCTAATAAAATCTCAGGAATTCAAGTAAAGGTAGAATTTCAGGCAGTAGCGAAGATTCATACTTTGTCTTAATCTCACATCTGTAAAAATGTATTTTAATTATATATTTTTGGCAAAGCGAGTTTCTTTAGTTATGTGATTGAATAAATACAACCAAATAATAAAAAATTAGCATTAAAAGTGTCACAAAATTTAAATTATTGTAAAAAGTAGATTTATTATACGATGGAAAGTAGAAGCGTAAAATTTAACGTCGCTAGATTCACCATATTGTGAATGAAATTTTTATTTTTATTCTTTTAGGAAATAAAGAATTCAGCAAAGACTGGATATACGTTATTTCTATTTTTCATGTTCATCGCAATCCAAACGTGTTTAAAAATCCTAATGTTTTTGATCCTGAGAGATTTCTTCCTGAAAACTCTTCCAAACGTCCACCTTACTCTTTCATCCCGTTTTCGGCAGGACCCAGGATGTGTCTGGGTGAGAAACTTTAGCATAATGAAATACAAATAACATATTTAAAACTTCTGTAGTGTGATTAATACGTGCTATTTTTTTACAGGGTATCGTTTGGCCATGATCGAAATTAAACTGATTCTGGCAACTATCTTAAGAAAGATGAA